AGACCCCCATGAGGACGCCCCGCGACAGCTTTGCGTTGAATGCCAACGACGGCACAATGGTCAGCGCCACCCCGAGAGACGTGAAGATGAGAGACATGGCTCTGCGGGGTCAACTACGACAAGGCTTGGCGTCTTTGCCCAAGCCGAAAGACACCGAATGGGAGCTGGAGCTTCCCGATGAGCAGAAGGAGCTTGCAGCAACCGACGAGATGATGCTCGAGGATGCCGCGGAACGAGACCGCAGAGAAGCCGAGTACAAGGCTGCACAGCACGCGCTGGAGATGCAGAGAAGGACACAGGTCATGCAGAAGAACCTGCCTCGGCCAAGTCAGGTGGACGTCACTGCCCTCCTGTCTGTTGCAAGCCGGGTGGATAATGAGGCGGAGGCGCTCATTGCCAGAGAGGCCGCTGCGTTGATTGCCAACGACGCAGTCGAGTATCCCTCGCCTAAGATTACCGTCAGCGGTGTGCCGCCTCGCCTGCAGACTATCAGCGACAACGACCTTGCCGAGGCCCGCCTGCAGATTCTGAGTGAGACCAACCCCAGACCTTCCCGGGCCGAGATTCAACAGTCCTTCGACAACCGGGGCAAGAACTCTCTGCTACTGGGATTGGGTTGCTACGGCGATGATGAGGAGGAAGAGGAGGCAGCTATGAGAGATGCCTTTGATGTAAGTCCAGAGGCGAATTGATCTCTACGAATGATTAGCTAACGATGTCACAGTCCATTCAAGACGCCATCGTGGCCACTGCCGAAAAGGGCATCAAGCTGGAGAAGAAGCTTGCGCTGCACCTTGGCGGCTACCAGAAGAGGCAAAAGATGCTAAAAGACAAAATTGGTGAGGCCGCCGAGGCTCTGGAGAAGGCCAACAACGCCCTCAGCGGCTTCAAGACCCTCGCCATCTCGGAAGAGGTCGCCATCCAACGGCGCCTGGGTGCTCTCAGAGACGAGGTCGGATTCGTCAGCAGGAGGGAGCGCGAGGCGCAGGAGCTTTACCGCAAGACGAAGGAGGAGCTCGACGCGCTCCGCAGCAACGGGGTGAACGGACACTATTAGAATGTATTGTACTGTACGATTGGGTCTTTTGTGAAAACACCGGGGTGGTGGGCTGGCTGGCTTATAACGCCTGGGCGTGGCAAATTGAAATTTTTATTATGTGATCCCATCTAACGCCATTTGATGCTATGCTTTATGTGTCATTCTCAACATCGTGCTTGAAATCATGTACAGTATTATCGGTGCCCCTTATTTGCGAGAACCAAGTCTGGGCAGCTTGATCGGCACCAGCGTCAGCACCGACACAAACGCAATCGCCGTACAGCAGACGAACGTCAGCCGCAGCGCCGCCTCGTAGCTCATGACGACCTGCTCGCGGTACACCTCGGGCAGCTTCACAACCTCCTCGACGCTCTGGCGCACCTTGCGGATGACCTCGTCCTTGTCGGGGCCCGTGACGAACTCGTCGAGGTAGCCGACGAGAGCGTTCTGCACGATGAGGCTGCTGCTGGCGACGCCGAGGACCATGCCGAGGGAGCGCCAGAGGATGAGGGTGCTGGTGACGACGGCCTGCTCGCGCTGGTCGGAGGCGGCGAGGACGGCCATGAAGGTTCCCGGGAACTGGAAGCCCTGGCCGACGGCGGAGGGGACGAGGCAGAGGAGGTAGAGCCAGGAGGGCCAGCCGCGGCGCATGAGGGAGAGGGCGAGGCAGCCGACGAAGAGGGCGGCGGCGCCGGAGAGCGGGGGCCATTTGAGGCGGCGGGTGTAGGTGATGAGGAAGCCGGTGGCGGTGCCGACGATGGAGGAGACGACGGAGGGGAGGACGAGGCGGAGGCCGGAGGAGGTTGCTGTTGTCAGGAGGACGGCTTGGAAGAAGAGGGGGCTGTTCCGTCGTGTTAGTTCTTTCACCTCCTTTGCTTTTCTAGAAAAGAGGGGGGATGAAGAAGTTGGAAACTTACATGTTGAACAGGATGGCGTTACTCAACAATGCCGCAAAGAAATTCGAAAAGATGAGGTTCGCCCTCGGGGCGTGGCGGACGAGGTAGAGCGGCATAATCGGCCTTCCGGCGTACGATTGCACGTACAGGAACACGGGGAAGGAGACCCCAAAGAGGGCGAGCGAGGCAACGACGACGGGGTGGGACCACGGCAGGACATTGCCGCCGAGGTTGAGGCCGAGGACGAAGAAGGTGATTGCGGTGGTGAGGAGAACGGAGCCCTTAAAGTCGAAGGCGCGCAGGGCCTCGACGAGGGTCTCGCGCTTGGCGCCACACGGGAGGCCGAGGTCGCCGGGCACGGCGATGACGGCGATGACGCAGCAGATGATCAGGGGCGGGACCTGGATGCCGAACTCCCAGCGCCAGCCCAGGTGGTCTGCCATGGCGCCGCCGAGGGCCGCGCCGAGGGCGGAGCCGACGCCGTAGATCATGTTGATGTAGGACTGGTAGGCGCCGCGGTCTCTATGGCCGGTGTCAGTGGATATGTCGTTCATGTGCGACTCAACGAGGGAAAGGGAGACTCACTCGATGGGCACCAGATCGCTGACGATGATGCTTCCCAGGGTCATCATGCCGCCGGCGCCGAGGCCGCAGGCCGCCCTGGCGAGGATGAAGCTGGTCATGCTCTGGGCGAGGGCGCACCAGACGGTGGCGACGCAGAAGATGACCATGGTGGCGACGTAGGGCGGCTTGCGGCCGATGCTGTCGGACAGGCGGCCGAGCAGGGGCTGGAAGGCGGAGCTGGTGAGCAGGAAGGCGGTGGAGAGCCACGACGCGCTGTTGGAGGCGTGGAAGTAGGACGTGATGACGGGGTGGCTGCTGGCCATGATGGTGCCGTCGAAGCAGGCGATGAAGTAAGTGAGGAGGATCTCGGCGAAGATGAACCAGAAGCGCGAGCGGGAGATGCCGTTGAGGTAGGGCGTGGACTCGACGCTGCTGATACTGGCGGCGTCTGAGGCATCATCGGCGACGGTGACGGCGGCGGCGTTCTCGAGGCCGGAGTCGGAGCGGTCGGAGCGGCTGGCGAGGGACGGGCGGCGGTTGGAGGTTTTGGAGTAGCGGCGGGGCCCGCGGAGGAGCGGATTCACGATAGACTCGGGCTCGAGGAAGGGGCCGGTGGTCGGGAGGGACTTGGAGAGGAGGAGGTCGAATTCGTTTGGCGGGATGGCGTTGGTTTCCGAGCCGATGGGGAGGGGCGTTGCTGGTTGGTGTTCGATTGAGGGGATGAGAGGCGTTCTCTCGTCCGAGGACGGCGACGTCCCCTTTTTGGCAGCCATGGTTTTTCTTTTGTTTGATTGGTGTTATCTAGAGTCCAATGTTGTTGAGAACTGGAGTCATGAGTTAGCATTGTGTACAGAGTTTGAGGCTCATGTGAGCAGGATGGTGGGTGAACCTTGAACTGAGATGTATGTGAATCCTGGGCCAGGGTAGAAATTGCAATTGAGTTGATCGTATGCAAGCAATCTAGGCTCCTGCGCAGAATTGCATGTAATCCCAAACTTTACGACTTGAGCCTCAAGGGTCCATTCAGTCAATGACACAATGTCATGAGTCAAAGATGATGAAAGGAAAATAAAAAAAAGTATGAGAGTGAGAGAGAGAGTGTGTGAAGAATTGGCTTCCGCATGCAGCTTTTTTCTCCTGCCACGGTCCACCCCCGGTTTGCGGCGGGCAACCTTGAACTTCTCCGCTCCCCTACACACTGCAATGCGCTGTAAGAAGCCGGCGAGGTATGCGGCCCCAGGCCGATTCCTTGTTACCGCCCCCTCTCGAATCCTTCCAAATTCATGGAGAGAGGGTCTTTCGTCTGTCTGTCCGCTTCCCAGCCACCACCAACAGCTGTCCACCGCCGTTTCTACCGCTACCGCCGCCGGTCGCGGCCCGGCGTCAGCGCTGAGCCGTCTTGTGACTCGCGAGAGGTCAGCAACCGTCCAGCGACTACTGCACAAAGGGCCGGAGCTGGCCTGCTACGGCTTACCTACCATTACCATGTAATCTCTGATGGCGGCGCTCGCCCGCTCACCAGGCGTACGCATACTATGTCCCGTCCCCCTTTTGCTCAGTTATCAAAATTTGCAGAGACCCAATCACGCAATAGCGGGTATGTATGTGATGGTCGGCATGGCAGGCTTTCTGTCTGTTGCCCCAGCAGTTCACGCGCGAAGGGGGATGGGCGGGCTGACACTAAAGCATGGTGAATCCGCTATTCCCCGGGGCTAGTGTGTCTATTCCCGCTGCAGAGTCCGTTTAGATGGAGGAAGTGTGCAAGTTTGCAGAGAGGAGGGGGGCGGGCATGGGGGGCAATGGGCTTGAAAGTGGGGTAATCGCACTGGACACTCGACGGAGGCGGGCCGGATGTCGGGGGTGATAGCCCCATATGCCCCACCTCGGCTTCCGGTCCTCGGCTTGGATTGTTCGGCTTCGGCTTTGAAGGGCGGGATCGGGAGGCGGCTCACCGCCACGCCCCTATCATCTCTTTGGAAGTCTCTGTCCATCGGCTAGAGCCGAGCCATCGCTGAAGACGACGGAGAACGGTTCCTTACAAGCGCTTGTCCAAGTGGAATTTGCTAGGGATCATTACCCGGGGCGGGTATGCTTGGTTGACTTCGTCGTGGTCACCAATCGTAGCCGAGAACACCATCTAGGTAGGGTAAGGTAGAGAATGCATTGAGAGGCTTACAATGATTGGTTTTCGTGTCGGGCTGTACATCAAGACAATTTCGCGCAAGTGAAGAAAGAATTTGAGGGAGACACGATGCACAACGAAGCAAACACCACTAGCCATTTAATGGTGCTTTCTGAAGAATCTCTGCTCAGATAACCATCTAACGAGAACATACATCCAGATCAAAAATTGACGATCAGACGCCAGATCCCGATGCAGGGCCCGACAGAAGCCGATCGATGGCGGGTCCCCGGCGCCGTTCGGCCACCGGCAGCAAACGGCGTTTGGCCGGTCAAATCACGGCCCCATCTCTCTTGGTCCAAAAGCCATCCGCATGACTTCACCCCTGGCGCCGCGCACTTTTCTGCCTCGACAATACTCGCGAGAGATCTCCCAACGGCATCTCGAACGGTAGCACGTCGCCGCAAAAGCCGTTTGCCATGGCATAGAATCCCGCCAGCGCGGCAATGAACCCGAACGATCCGGCGACTTTCGTCAAGCTCTTGCCGGAAGATGCGTGGCCATCCGCAAAGGCAAAGTTTGCGGCGCAGTTGAAGATGTAGGAGAACTCGAGCGCGCCGTACACGAAGACGTTTACGATGTTGCTACAGTTTCGCCATGGTCAGTATGCAGCATGATTAAAGCTCTTCATAGGGGAGAACTTGCGTGGAAAAGGAGGCGATGAAGAAAAAGAGGTTGAAAAGCGACCATACTAGTCTCCCCATGTTATCATCACTGCTTTCAGCTTAAGAGACGGGATCGCGTACCAGCAAGATAGAAGCCGAAAGCATTGAAATAGTCCGCCGTTTTCCCTCCATAACCATCCATGATGCCCACAGAGGGGATGAGAAGAAATCCGTAGCCCCCGTAGTAAAAGGCTTTGGTCGTCAGTAATAGCGTTGAAATACGATAGGAGGTAGACTTACCAAACGCGATCAAGGTCGTGTAAGCAAAAGTGTTGCCCCTAAGCATTTCCCATTGCGCAGAGATGAGCAAGCCTATCCCGGCAAGGAAGCAAAGATTCGCTATGAAGACGGCCTGGTTCTCAACGTTCCGAATGCCCATCATTGACAGAGACAGGGTCATCAACGTCGTCGAGAACGCCCCGTAGCCGAATGGGCCCTGCAAAGCAGTCTTTGTTAGCCTTTGGAAGTGTGTAGATTGGAGATTTGACCTCACCGAATTTGCGAATCGCAATTTTGAATACACCTTTGCATCACAAGCCTCGATATCAATTTCTGTTCCGGATGACATGTTGATGACCTCGCCGGCTTTGCTGCTCGAAAACTCAACTTCCTCGTAGGTTATTGGTGGTGGTGAACAACGCAAGCTTTATTGCGCGAGCAGATAAATATCACGTGCTCATTTCGCAGTAATTATGTCGCATAATTATTTTATTTCAACAGTTTCTCAGGCCCTTCCCGTCGGCCGACAGGAAGTCTGGCCCCTGACAACCAACAAGTGGCCATTCGGCGTTTGAAAAGCTGCTAACTTGACCCCAACGACTTTCTTCCGGAGGCCTTGGGAACACTGCCACTCCGTATTCTGCCATGGAATTGATACGGAAGCTTCGGAAATTCTTTTCAATATCTTCGAATCGTACTGTTTATCTCATGCCTGGCCTTGCGCCGAAAACCATTCGCGTCTGTGGAGCAGTTTTCCGCGCTGAGGGTGCGTAGACGTTAATTTACCTGCGGAGGCAGCAACTTACATTCCCTCTCTTCCCTGGTCAAATGATTGGCTAAAAAAAATGTAAAAGGTCATAATTGGCCAGTTATCATGCTGTTGGTTCTGTGGCCTGCATGCGAAGGGGTCACATCCGCTGGTGTTGGCGCCTAGTTACGCGCTTTCAAGAATATAAAGGGTTGGAGCGGCATCCTGTATTTTTGAGTATTCGATTTCTTATTCAGCTCTTCTTGAAGCAGGCCAACTGCAATATTTAAAACCACCGATGTTTTCCGACCTTTTCCCTTGATGTACAACATGAAGCCTACGAACACGAACTCAAGGCAGCCTTTGCGGGCCAATGCATCCCAATCATACCAATACAAGCCACTTCGCTGCGATAAAACCTGCGTTGAGATCCGCCTTCTACACCTTTTTCCGGCTGATGGCCCAACGGAACCGCTCCGGTGTCACTTGGAAACATTAGAGCTGGATGTGGACGGAAATATGAACTATGAAGCCCTTTCTTACACCTGGGGCGTAGAAATTCTAAGCGAAATTCTAATTGTCAACGACAGCACTTACATCGAAATTACTCCCAATCTGGCTTCATTCCTTCGGCATCGACGTGAGACCGAAGATGAGGTGATCCTGTGGGTAGATGCGGTTTGCATCAATCAGCAGGACATTACAGAACGAAACATTCAAGTCCCCATCATGAATCTCATCTACTACAAATGTAATGCTGTCAATGTCTGGCTTGGGGAGGAAAGCGACGACAGTGATTTTGCCATTGGGGAACTTGCAGCGCTCGGGAGCAGCCCTCCATACACGAGCATGCCCCGCCTCACTCAAAAGATGTGCGACGCGATGGAAAGCCTATTTAGAAGGGCTTGGTGGAATCGGGTGTGGATTGTACAGGAAATATGCTGGGGCGGCGGCGGAACAGGCAAGATGACGAGTTCGAACTCGGTGACACTCCGCTGTGGAAGTCGATTGATCCCGTGGAATCAGCTAGTCGTGGCCTGTGCAAGGATCAAGATTGACGTGTCCCTGCGTCGTCAAAGTATTGTTGGATCTGACAAGGTTCTACATCTGGATTATGTGCGCTGGAGCTCCAGTCGGCTTCGGCTCAAAAGTCGCGAAGACCGAGGCCACGAAAGGGACGTCTTGAGATGGGTCGTGGAATATCGTCATTTCAACGCAACCGACCCTCGAGACAAGATCTTTGCTATCTTGGGGTTGACAATGAGACCCACCGACAAGATCCTTCAAGGGTTCGTTGTTGACTACAAAGAAACTGTGGAAAACATTTACACCGACTTCGCTGTCAAGATGATAAAACGTTTACCAGGCCTGGAGATTTTGAGACAATGCATTGGAGGTGCAAACGACGAGGAGACCCGGAAGGGCTTTGATTTGCCATCCTGGGTCCCAGACTGGTCCTGTCAACGTTACGACGTACCTTTGCCAAAGCGCAATGCAGAAGGTCACGACAGCATTCCCTGGTGGGCGGTACCACCGTTGACCTCAGAGAAAGACGGCGTGGTCAAGATGATGTTCCCAATGACATACGAGGAAGTCGAGAAGCAGGTTCAAGAAGTATTGGAAGGGCGAAAGGTGTTCAATGATCCTCAACAGTGGATCAAGTATTACCCCCGTGAAATGGTGGATGAGCTCCAAAGCATGGTTAACACTGGCAAGCTCTTGTTTGCAGGTATTCATGACGAGCACTACATCGACCCGAACGCCGACCTCAACATGCACCAAATGATTGAACACGCTGCCAAAGCAAACGAGAAACTCGCTCAATACTCATTTGTCCGCAATTGGCTAGACGAAGACCGATCAAAGAGGCCTGCGTACGCCGCTGGTATTGGCCCCAAAAGCACCCTTGTCGTGGATGAAGACAAGCGGTTGGTACACGTGGAGGGAATAGTTTGGGATGAAATTGACATTTTACACGCACCTTTTCCGGAAGACTTGGATTCAAACTGGGAGAAGTCAACAGAGTTCATCGTTGCTGCTGGGCAATGCAAGCAGATGGCTCTAGAGTCCCGACGGGTTAGCTCTCCGTATCCCTCCAAAGAGGCTGAACACGCAGCATTCTGGGACACTCTTGTTGTGGGACAGGAGGTGGAATCGATCAGCAATTTCGAAAGTTGCCTTCCTAAAGTTCCCAAGACATGGATAACAACGCAGGCGCCTCTTACGTTCCGAAATCCAAAGCAAGCAGAACAAGCAGAACGTCAAGACTTGCTCAACACTCGAACTAAAGAGCTGAAAGATATTCTAGGAGGGCCTGTTGTCCTTGACGACCTTCCGCCTTTGGTCTCATCAGACGAAGAACTACAGGAGCTCAAGACTAGCTTCCAAAAGCTGGCAAACCTGTGGAGTCTGCAGCCGTATGACCTCTACCACCGCCCTTTCAGCCTCCCCAGCGTTGTGCCAGATCCGTTTTGGGAAAGCCGCTGCCAATTCGACGAAAAGGCTCTGGAAGAAAGCGCAAGATCTCGCCGTTACAAGTGGGAAAACGGCTTGCATACACCGAATCGGAAACAAAGTGATCGGCTGCAGAAACTAGCTTTCGAGGTTTATGGAGAAATGCCTTCGATCATACCTCAATTACAAAATGAAGAAGCCGACTTTCGGTTAGAGAAATACGCACTCGGCCGGCGGTTCTTCATCACTAAAAAGGGGTACATGGGCCTTGCGCCAATCGGGGCGCAAATTGGTGACAATGTCGTCGTTCTGTTCGGTTCTCACGTGCCATTCATATTGAGAGGCCGAGAAACAGGTCACTATGAGGTTGTGGGCGAGACATATGTGTCCGGAATCATGAAAGGGGAAGTGCTGAAGGACTTTGATGAAGGAAATTGTGTGGCAAAGGGGTGTGTATTAGCCTGACCAGGGAATCAACTATGCCGGGACAAGTTGCCGTCGTTTCCTCGTTTCTCCTACTTTCAAATTGATTAACCCGGCCAACACCGAAGAGAAAGCAAGTCTAGAGGATTAAACGTCATAATTTCAAGTCTCCTTCGACTAAGCTATGATATTCTGGCATCTATAGGTACTATAGGAGGTCTAAATAATTACTTCGCGCCCAAGAAACCCAGAACAGAGACAGAGTGAAACGCAAAAGGCTCTACTGCAACAATGTGTTTCGACATTTTGTTTCTCGCGAAAGAGCTGTACCATCACATATGGTCTTCGTGTTCCTTTTTCCTACTTTCCTTAGCAGGCTTATAGATCATCATTGGCCCTTGATGTGGCCTCGTTGCAACAGTCCTGTGGCATTCGGCGCAGTCATAGTGTACATCCTCAAGCCATCCTATGGCACCTGGAACACAGAGTACGGCGAAGAAGAAGAAACCTGATACCACTCGAAGAAGCCTGTTTTCTTATTACCAATCCGTCGTACGAAGCAGTATTGAACGCATCAAAATCTTACAACTGGCGTTTTGTCCCTGTCTTGGAGACTGAGGTTTGTGCCCGTTTGCAGCAGTATGGACAGTCAATCCATTGCGGCGAGTCGCCGTCCAGCTTCTCTAAGGGCGTGACATCGTGTGAATTTCCCGTCTTGTCCTCGTTCCTTCTGAATATTAGCATTGCTGAGATTGACATCGAACACACATACTCATGCTCCGACTCCAATGGATTCTGTTTCATGTTGCTTGGATTGTCGTTTGTGGCCGTAGGTGCTCAATGGGGGAATTCAAGGTTCAAGGTGCTGCGAGAACAATTGTGCATCTAAACGTTCTCTGATAAACAGTTGAGAAACTCATGTATAATGAAATGGTGAAGGCAATTTCTTTAGATTCACGGTCGGCTGAGTTGTGGCACAGCTTGCGTCAGTCTTGGCAGACGTAGACAGCCACACATACGGAGATGGCAGTGACCTGCATCACACCCTCATATTGTCAGCACCTCATTAATCGGGCGGACACACACTACGAAGACACCCAATCAGGCAAATCAGAGTAAACATTATGACGTGAACAACCATCAATTCTCACAGTATGTAATTACAATATCCCTTTCTGGTCGACTAAGACATTGAGACCACCTCTCTTATTTACAGTGCTGCAGCATTACTTTCGAAGGCTGACGACGTCCCGGAAAACATCTGTGTGGCAGTCGTAGAGAGGCGTTAGGCGAACAATCCCTTTTGCCACCATGTGCACCTCTGGTTTGCTGTGTCATCCTTCTGCAGAGAGGTGCCATTAGTTGCAAGATTGACCAACACGGATCCTGCACCGTACACCGGCATCTCAGTGCCGTTCGACGAAGTTGGTACCGACTTGGTGACGAAGCTGACGATGTACTGTTGGAGAGCGTCAGCTACTGACGGAACGACGCCGCTTGGTGCACCGTTTCGGAAGACGTAAGGTGTCTGCTGGCCATGGATTCCAGGAGGGACTGCAAAACGCACTGGATTTCAAATGTATTAGCAAAGCTTCTGTGCGGAGGCTGCATGTGTTGAATGCAAAGAAGTACGGAAATCAAATGCACGAATGGTGTCACTTACGTGCATAAGCCTTATCACTGAACGCCTGGGCAATGTAGTGGGTGTTGCAAATGATGTTGACGTCCTCAACTGTGCCCAGGGCCCGCTGAAACTCGTCTTTGTACCCCAAAGATCCATCAAACACGGGAGGATAGAGGGTTGTGTTGATGAACTTTAGCGCGTCCTTTGAGATCGTTGGGAATGATGACGTGACCGTGGTGAGGTAGTCAGCGGACGAGTTTATCGTTGGGTTGGTAAAGGTAAGACCTTCCAAAGTGTTGTGCATCGTCATGATCCTGATGTCCTTGTTGAACGTCCCGTTCAGAAGTAGCTGACCAGGCAGAGCAGGAACGAGAGCGCCGTCCACGACGGGTCCATAGATATTGCTTCCATAGGATGCCTCGCTGTAGATTTGCAAGGCGTTGGCGGCGATGAGAACTTCGCTAGGCAACTTGCGGGCTTCGCTGAGAGATGTGACGTTCAAGAGGGCAAGGAAGTTGCTGAACGCTCGTTCGGCGCTGATCATCGTTGGCGAAGGGAGGAATGCGGGTGAGAGAAGGATGGCTTGGCTGAAGAGAGACTCGTTCTTGCGACCACCGAAGGCTGTCAGGTGATGCATGATTGACCCTGCACCTGCTGATCCTCCCATGACAGTAACTCTGTGTTTGTCGCCCCCGAAGAGGTGGATGCGCTGTTGAACCCATTCAAAAGCCAGTCGTTGGTCATAGAGCCCTGCATTCAGGGTCCCATTGGCAGAGACCTCCTTGCCCGCAAGCCAACCAAGGGCGCCGAGTCGGTAGTTGATGGAGACGTAGACGAAGCCCGAATTGCTTATTCTGAGAAGTTCGGCGGGGTTGAAGTCACCGTCACCTGTCTTGTCGCCGCTCGAGTAGCCACCGCCATAGACCTGCAAAGAAGGCGACTTAGCTTGCCGATTCAGAAATCGATTTCATGAAGACAAGCCACGACTTACATAGATCAAGACCGGCAAGCGATTTTCCTTCTTGGCAAAACCCGCCTTAGGTGTAATGACATCGAGGAAAAGGCAATCTTCAGTGGTGCGGGAATCTGCGCTGACGATAGCATCACTCTTGGGGACGGCAGCCATTGCGGCATTGTAGTCGAATGGTTGGCCGTTGAGATAGGCTTTCGAGAACTGGCCAGCTATGAGAGACCAATTTCCGGAAGATTGAGGGCACACGCGCCCGATGTCCCCGTTGTCGACGTGGCATTGCCGTCCGGTAGGCGCAATTGGTTCACGGAAGCGGAAATGTCCCGTGGGCGGCGCTGCGTAGCGGATGTTCGAGAAGTTGTAATAGCCACCAGTCTCCTGTGTGGATGTAAGTTGCTGATTACCTGAACCAAGGATATATGCGACCTACATTGAAACTGTTCGCTCGATATGATGCCTAGGAGGATATCAGCATCGCCAAGACTCAGCAACGTCAAAGGTTATCGGTATTTGGGATTCCATACGTAGGTCAGATCCACCACCGGCAAGTTGCTTGCCGGAGCCGCCAACGTGAAAGCGGCGAAAGAAAGAATTGGAAGCAAAAGATGCATGATGTTAGATAAGTTGGATGGAAGATGATCGCTGATGAGGTTGTAGTTGAGATGAGCCAACTGTGAGAAATGACTGCGAGGTTACGAGGTTTATATCAATTTTCCAACATCATCCATGGATGGCTAGATACTCTCCCATATCTGCCTCGGCACTTACCAGCTGATGGTGACTGAGATACACGCCATCCAGATGAGCGTTGGAGAAACAAGCCTCCACACAGGCGCCGATCCCTGAATCCTTCGACCATGGCGTCGGGACCTGTCTCTTAATAGGCGTGCCGAATTAGGTATAGTTTACGATGAGGCAGCCCTCCACGCTCACGCACGTCAGTAATGAGGTCAGTCCGTACTTTTAAAGTATGGTTTCGAATACCTTCGGATGCTCTTGATTCTTGCGTCGCCTGAGAAGTCACGACAAAACCACTTCCATATGGCATGCTGAAGAAGCTTATGTCAAGTCACTTTATTGACATCGCATGGAGAGTCGGAACAGTTCTAAGGATGGAAGAAAGTAAAACCCTTAAACCATTCACACAAGATCCGATGATAATTGCGCAGTTTATGATCAAACCGTCATATTTTTCTGCTCGGGGCACCTTAGAATGGTGGCATCTTGAGGCGAGACTGCTCATCGTACATTTGTTTAGTCAGGCAGGTATGGCATAGTCGGAAGCTACCATTTTGTGGCTTTGCGAAAAGGAACTAGTTTAGCTCAGCCATTTCCCGTAAACTATACCGGACCGGGAATGGCGGAAGGCTTACGATGAGTTAATTAGCTTTAAACTCTTCAGGGTGGAAACAAGCCCATAATATGACAAAGGACGTATGTAAGAAGCCACCCACGGTAATATTAGACATTCTGGACGTGGAATTCATTGCACAATTTTCCACTTTTGAACGGGCGTCGACAACAACGTCAACCTTAAAGCTAAAAGCGATGGCGGCCTCCTTCACACACTGCTCTCATTCCCCCGCCCGTTGTCCTGACTTGCGCATACCAGCCCCCCGCGACAAGCATGCTGCAGGTGTCCTGCAGCATGGCATCGTGGCGTTGCGTGCTCGGAGACAGGGTTTTGAAACGGACTCCAATGGTCCGCAGCGATACGGCCGTTAAATTTGTGTTGGTAAAAGTCGAAATTCGATATGCAGGAACGGAAGTTGTCGCCAGATACGGGCCAACGCGCGGAGGCGCAGTTCCCCAAACCAACATAACCGCCGTCAATCCTGGTCACCAACAGCGTTTCATTACTCGCCAACTCTGAGCGAATGTGCCTTGCGGTGGTCTGATCTAGTGTACTTAAGGAGAGGCTACTGTGTCAACGTGATGAAATGTGCCATACCTTTTCAGCTACCTCGCGATCCCACTCAACGCCAACTCTTTGGATAACGCATCATGATGTCCGCCGAAGCTTCATCCAAGGCCTCAAATAATGGCTCTTCCAATCGCACAAAGCGACCTACCTCATCTGGAGCACCCGTCACAAAGTCTAGACGGCGAAGTCATGTCACAGATGCACCCCAAATCGGGTCAATGTCATCTCCACTGGCTCCGACTCAACCTGGCCTGACCCCTCAAAAGGTGCGAAGGCGTGCTTCAAGTCAACTTTCACCCAGAGATATCGAAAGTCCCCCATACGATTTGCTCTCTTATGCCGGGGAGTTCCAAGAAACCGAATTTGATATGGACACGCCGAGCAGAAAGCCAGGACGCAGACTCCGATCGGCATCATCAGCATCGTCTTGCGCTTTCGAGTCATCGCCGCTTCGTCAGGAACATGCACAGCAGAACGCTCTCGATACAGACATTGAACAGGACGTCTTTTCTAGACCAGTACTTGAGAAGTCTCACACCTCGCCTGAGATGCACGAAGAGGCTGAGAGACGGCACCAGCGTCCAGATCTACCCGTCAGAGGTGCAAGCGATCCAGTTACTCGAAAAAGCCAATCTACTTCGCACATCGAACGAGACCTCCATAATCTTATCAAGGATGGACCCTCAGCAAAAAATAGAGAGCAACAGATTGGAAACATATACTTGTTCAAAGTCAAATCTGCAACAACCGACGTCGAGTTGCTCAAGATCGGGCGAACACAGAAGCCTGCTGAAACACGCCGCAAACAGATAAAGGGTGTTTGTCAACACATTCATATTGAAGAACATAGACGCGCGGTAGCTGAAATGATTGATTTTCACGGCTACGCTGAGAAGCTCGTCCATACTGAGTTGGCCAATTTTCAACACCAATGGGTGTGCTCTTGCGGCACCAGTCACCAAGAGTATTTTGACGTCAGGGAAGACCTTGCCGTCGAGGTCTTTACACGCTGGAGAGACTTTTGTAAACAAAAGCCCTGGGCCCCAGACGGGAAGATTTTGCCTGCCTGGGAACAGCGACTGGCAAACAAACCCAAATTCGGCGGCGACGAGCATGAGCCCGATCACTGGGAGCTTGCCAAGCATTGGAGAAGATTCACGTCACCAATGGCTGTGGAACGGATTGCTTCCGATGTGATACGGGTTTGGAAAGATCTCTTCCCGGAGCGTTGGCAATTTGTTGCCATAGCAGAGCTTCTCACGATAATCTGCGTCTCCCCGATCTCATTCTGGATCACTACATGGGCAGTTGTTATCGGGAGCTTGCTCTTGATCGACCTCGTAGTGATTCCCGACTTGCATCTTTTTAAATGGATCGACAGACTTATGAGCGGCGGCTTGCAACCTTTCAGATGGGGAGGTGGCGGCGAGCAAGGCGGAAAAGGTGACTGCAATCTCAGCCCATCACCAGAAGGTCACGGGATGCAGACGCACACCCCCAGTGAGCGGCCTACACGAGGAGTAAATCATCCGACGTTTACTTCCATGTACGTTGGAAGACATGATGACCCAAGTATCATGGCAGATTCCTCTCCTGGCGCTTTCCCTAGTGTATCCCCTGGTGCTACGGACTGTGAAAGCGACATGGAAGTTGGGGTTTGCTGCTCACCGTGCGCTGAGAAGGCTTCTAGACGCCGTACACCTGATATCAGAGTGGATCCTGCAAGTGCAAATCCTGAGGTCACTGTGGACGAAGATTCCGATATGGAAGTGGTTGAATGACTTAGCTTAAATGAACCTACACCAGGTATTTGAGGCGAATTACAAACACTCTATTGAATCATTACACCCTGCTCCACGACAGCAGCAGAGCCCGTTGTGAAAGAGTGTTCCACATAATTATGACATTCAAAGAGCAGACTTGTACGCCTCGAAGTCCCATCGCCCTCCATCCTTCCAGAATCCGTCCACAACGGGTTCTCGGGGCTTCTTCCCATCAACGACAACCTCGTTCAGCCAGCTCCAGTATGTAGTTGCCTTCCAGCCCTCCCTTTTCCAGTCGTTTATATCCCGATCAGGATCCTTGTTGAAAACAGGGAGCACATCCAGTAAGCTTGCGTCATGGGCAAGACAGACCATCACATCATCTCTCGTGTCAAGCTCACTCATTCTCGACACCGAGGCGGATGCTTTCTCGAGATCCGTGTATACATGCCCGCCATCAGGGAGATTGTACCACGAGGAGGTGCGAGCGGAGTCTTCATCCTTCGCACGAGGGTGATGAGGGGTGAAGAAGGAGCACGGGCAAACCGATCTCGAAGTCCAGTCATTGCGGAGAGAGATAGCGCTGGCGGGGATGTCCTTCGGTAGGGGCGTATCGGCTGTTGGGCGGAAGACGCCGGCAAAGTGGCAGATATCTCCGCCCAAGAATACGAAAGAAGCCCCGCCGGGTGCCGAGGAGGGGGTCGTTCGTGCGAGCGCGCAAATGTGCTCTGGTTGGTGACCAGGGGCATCAAGAAGGTAGAGCGACCCATCACCAAAGAAGTCCTGAGCCCTGAACTTCCCAACCATCAAGCCGCTGTCGAATTTCGCTTCCTCCAGCGGGCGGCCCTCAAACTCTGCCGTGGCCTCTGGATCACCGACTCCCCCAGGTCTTTCTTTATCAGAAAGATACCCGGGGCCCATGACCAGCTTCGTAGATTTGGGGAATAGGGCCATGTCACCGCGATGGTCAAAATGAGCATGCGACCAAATACAGCTGTCTGTTTCCGAGTAAATAGCTAGTCGCCTGATTTTCTCACAGCTTCTGATACTTACCAATGGTGTTCAAGTCAACGCCCCCCTTCGTGAGCACTTCATCAATGCCCTCATCAACCCTCATCCCGAAGATCACACATCCTTTCCCGATCAGCTGCAGCACGGCCTTGGGCAGCTTCCAGTAATCCTTGCGCGTGCCCAAGTCGAACAGTGCCTTCTTTCCCAGGTTTTCATTTTCGAGAAGAAAGGCAAGCGAACAGAAGTTGATGACCTCATGCCCCGCTACCACCGGCCTAGCGAAGGCGGTCATGTCCCCGACCATGGCGGTGGACGTGTCGATCAATTTGACGCGCACGACATTGTCGGACGCAGGTATGTTTGCCATTGTGAATTGTTTGATCCTGATAGCCTCTCAGTGATCCGATACTACGAGGTTGTTGTCAGAACAAAGTGAGGGGCCCGTTGCTCTCCCAGAACCTAAAAGCTGCCCAACCCTTCGACGTCATCCGATGAACCACAGTTCTCCACTTCCCCAGGTTGTCCGACGCAAACGCGGCAACCTTATTGATCGCATCAGCCCAACGTGCAGCCATGCAGCAAGCCTCCTGGAAATGATTACCCGGTCTCGGCATCAGATCGATCCTCAGAGTCACATTATTCCTCGGCGAGCTCCTACGTGAAGAGAGGAACATAGTCTCTTGATCTATGTAGTACACACTTTCAAAAGCAGTAACAGAGTCGAGAATCGTCGACATAGTCTCACAAACGCCTCGCGCGCCGCCGCCCCGCCGAATGCTCTAGTTTAGTAGGATATCGTACCCGTCGCCCATGATCCGAACCTCCTCGTTGCCCAGCCCGTACTTGCGCCGCACCAACTCGAAAATGATCAAGCCTGCGCTGGTGCTCGGCACCTGGCGAATCGTGTTCCACCAGAACCCGCGCCACAGCCATCGCCGCATGCTCAGCCCTTCCTTTTGCGCCTCCAGGCAGCATTCCGACCACGTCTCTTGATACGCGCGATAGTAGGCCCTGAACATCCTCCAACCCTGCTTCTGCTGGTTCGGGTCTGCGCCCTTCAGTTCTCGAAGTTTGGCGGCTTTGGCGTCTAGTTCTTCTAATCGGTCCCAATGTTCTACTTGCACGTGCGTTAATGGGTGAAGAACGACTTGCTGGGTGATTGAGGCGGTGATGCCGGCGAGTAGTAGAAACGCTGGCTCGATGGCGTAGTGAGGGCGGATAATGAGTGGTTGGTTATTCTCCCCAAGGACATCCTTTGTCGTTGGTCGCTTCTGGGCCATAAAGTCGACAATGTGCTCTTCCAACCCGCCGTAATACCAGGACACAAACTTGTAGTAGCCCTGTGCCTTTACGTATTCAAATACGCTGAAAAAAATGGCACTTCCCAGACTGTCCTTGGTGAGAGACAAGCCCCAGCCTGCAAAGATACCCCGCGGTCCGATTTCCCTCAGCTTTTCCGCGCTAAAGGTCCACATGCTCTTTGGCTTCCCTCCCTGGCCGGTCATGAGATCCCGATGGTCGTACCTCGCTTGGATGGCATCCAAGGGCGCAGCGACAAAGCTCTGCAGGCCTCCAGCGAGTAATCCCGCCGTGAACGTTTGGTAGGGCTGCGGCGGAGGGTAGACCGTTTTTCTTGACTTGCTGCTCGGCTCATGAAGGGCACCCAGGATCGTGAGGTAGCTGGTGTACAGCACCGCTCCGACGCCCACGTTCGCAATGAGCGGCGGCAGTACCTGGTGCGGGAGAACACCCCAGCCATGCTGCTTGACAGCGGAGGTGAGGACACCGGGTGTCGTGCCCCTCAGGTAAAACCATGCCTGGCGCAGCCCGAGATGAAGCCTTGAACCGCCTTCCTTGGCAGCAGCCTGCGCGAGGAGCTCGGTCTGCGCCTGGTGCACGCTGCGCGCGTAGGCGAGGTAGTCGACGCGGGTGCGGAAGAAGGCCTTTACCGGGGCACGGAAGTAGAAGGCGACGACCTGGGCGCTCAGGGCGCGGACGCCGGCTGCCGATGCCGCGGTCGCGGCGTTGCTGCGCGGGTTCTTGTCCGGAAGCGGCGCGTCCGGCGGAAGGACGGGCAGCAAGCCGGTGTATGGGTCGTAGGTGGTGGTGTCGTCATCGCGACGCCTCGTCATTGTTTGCTGCTACAACTGCGAAACATCATTCCCTTTGCTAGCGAAGTCTCTGTTTCTGGAGCGAGTTCAAATCGGCAGAACTTGGCGTCGGTTGCGATCGGGTTTGTGATGACTAAGCGCATGACGTAGAACTTTGCTTATGCATTGTCATGCTCCACATTTGTGCAAGGTTTGTGTCTCTCCTTGTTCGATCCATCTGGATGAGTTCGACTGTCCATACCGCAAAAAACTTCAAATTTCAAGCTAGACATGGTGTCCAAATTTTAAATCTACAAATTCACTGCGAAAAAACCTTGAGGCATGATTGGGCTGCACAACTAATGTCCGCTGGAGATTTCGTGATCCTCAAACCAAGCTTCAATCTTCCCGGTCTCCTTGTTGTGGGTGCTGTTCGCCTTGTTCCACTGACCCTTCCCTGCAAGTGCCATATTAACTCGTTCGGCCTCATTGGCATCGTATCCAACGACACCTTCAAGGTATTCCTTATAGCCAAGCCAAGTATGTTCCTGTGCCCACCTCTGCACCGCGCCCAGGTCTCGACACTTCCGGTCATGGTTGTGGTTGTTGAAAGCAACGAACTCGTTTGATCCCGACATTGAAACATCTGTAAGGTCGCATAAGGCTACAACCTCTTGAAAGCACCAACGTAGGCTCGGCGAAGGCAGGGCGAGTGCACTTACCGACGTTGCACATGATCTCCTCTCTCAGATGGTCTACACAGTGCATTGTGTGGATGTCATTGCGCGGCCATTTCTCCATCGGCACATTCGAGATCAACCTGTTTCGTATGCGGTACTGTTTTCATTAGCTTCACAGTTAGGTGATTATGAGAATTTGGCCTTCATACCAAGCAGTGGAGGGAGTGGAAGACGTTCACCTAAGTAACGGTTAATCTACGTATTCACGAAAGTGAAGAAGATGGCCTACTTGATAGACTCGGAGTTGCGGATCATGAGGGTATGTAACAGTGGGTGGGAGATTGTTGCGCTCCGCCCACGCGTCGTCAACAGTCACGATACCGGTGTCTGAAGAAAAAGAAGCGTAAGTTGACAGTCCAGCCCGGTGTCATGATGGCGGGTTGATTCTCGTCGGGGGCTCCTACATGTCTTCAAATCATTCCAGAATTTGTCGGCATCTTTCGACGGATCTGCTGCGTCGACAATCCTGTACGGAGTCCCAGTCGCGTTGTACTTTTCGAATGCAAGGTCTACCAGGCTTAACGTTAGACTGACGATAATGAAGACCGGGCATTAAATTCAAGACACTCACAATCATGCTTGTCGTACGTGTCGCTAGGTCTCTCGTTGCCTAGTAGTGTGTACCGGAAGACCACGAAGCTGAACAGAAGAATGGGCACTTGGCAGAAGACGAAAGCCAGGACAAGCTTCGAAGTCGAGAGTGACCTCGGGGGCCGATCGTCCGAAATGGAGATCTCGCACCGGCTGCAGACGTGGCCGTTGTCGACCGAACTCTCGTCATCTGACAGCAGCTTGTAGCTACTAGTTTCAGGCTTGCCTGATCCCATGGTGAAAGACGAAGGGTGCTATGAAGGCCAATAACGCAAGTGGAAAGGGTTTGAACGACAATCGTGGCGTGACGGTGTGACTTGGAGAATTTCTCTGATATACCGAGACAAAAGGCTAGTCAAGAAGGGTGGGCAACGTCAACCGTCTTGCGACACCCCCGCGATGATGGCGTGAGTCGGCCCTGACAATCAACCTCTCAATCAACCGATGAAGATGTTTGCTACAACTGCCCGCAAAAACATCGCCTCAATTCTTCGGCGGAACTCGAGCAAACTTCCAGCTTTTCGGAAATTGCAGGAAACCGGGCTACGTTCACAAAATCTTGTTGGTTCCAACAACAAGCAAACAGGTAAAAAGGCACATTCCTAAAGGGGCCATCCGACGAAGTCTGAGACACGCCACCTCGTTGAAATCATTTCCAGAACCCAGTTGTTTGGTAAATTGCGTGAGGTACCCTGGAAGACTTGGTCTTCGAACTAACCTGTCAGTGTTTGTTGGGTCAGCACCATTTGCTAACGAAAGCATTTACAGCTTAGCAGCTAAGGGTGGCACAGCCTCTGTGCCCGTCATGGCCGGAGGGTATCCCAGTTCCAACGGAAGTTCCAACGAAAGCGAGTAAAGCTGTGCCGCTATTCATCACAACATTTGGAATCATAATCGTAGGCAAAAGAGGAAGGTGGCTCCACCGCTGGACATGGAAACTGAGAGTCCAAAGGCTCGTTGTACACGAAACCAGTCCAAAGTGTGAGATCGATATCGAATTACGAACATGGACATGAGTTATATGCTTGGGAATAACGACATCATCTGTGATGATACTTTCTCCTATAATAGTTAAGGCCTTTTGTAAGCGCGAGTGAAATGCTTGGACTTAGGTAGATGAGAAGCGTTTTAGACGTAGACAACGATTTCATGATATAGTATTGCGGTATCTGTGGGCGCCTTGCGATCTTAAGGCACACGAAATCACACTTCAAAAGGCTTTGTTTCAGGAACGAGTGAATCATTGGTCAGGTACCTCATGGTACAGTTGTCTAAGCCTAACTACCAACTCAGCCCGCCATGCATCCTTCAAGCCGCCAGTTTTCCGCGACACCATAAGACTGTTGCGTTCAGGTTCATCAGTCCGTCTTGACATGTTGCGGCTTGTGTGATTCGCGCCTTTTGAGTAAACTATTAGAATATCAGTCAGACTTACAGCTCAGGTTGTGAGGTAACGCCGCTGACCTACTTTACTCGGTGATAGCTTCACCGGCCTCAGAGTCCTCAACCGGACCTTCATCGCCAAAGGAGGCAATGGAAGGGCTCAGGTCAAACCATCTGCGCCTAGCTTTCGCTGCCTCGTCAGAAGCACCAGCATCGGCGTCCTCGACCGGACCTTCGTCACCGAAAGAGGCAATTGAGGGGCTGAGGTCGAACCATCGTGGCTTTACATCGGCCTTCGAGTCGATGGGTGCCGCAAGAATAGGGGCAGCGAGGGCACCCAGGGCAATGATCACTCGAATGAGTTGCATCGTTGAAAGCAAAAAAGAGGTGGAGTGGGATGGAATGTGAATTGATAACGCGGTGGAGGCTTGAGGTATGCTGTAAAAAGAAGTATCTTCAAAGATTTGCAGCCTTCATGAGAGTCAATTTGGTGGGATTGCTACCAATATTTATATCACTAATACAGACATGATCGTGCCGCGATGAGCCATTTCCTCTTTTAGCTCTCGGTGTCCTCTGAGTACGGGATTTATCAGATCTGCCTGTCATAGTTTTAAGACAAGTGCATCGAGACGCCTGCTTGGACCAAACAAGAGGCCCTCTACCTTCCCCTTTCGTACATCCGGTCGGTTCAAACACAGACAATCTGAGATTATGACAGCTCATACAGAGAGCGTCGGTGCCTCTCACCCCCTGAAAGCCCGTCATCCAGCTTGTTAGAAGGTCACACCACTCATCTTGACTGAGTACCAATCAAGCCTTTCCTACAGCTGAGACGTTGGAAGCGAGTCTGGTACCGTGTATTCCCCAGCCTTCGCGATTAATTGTTTCCCGCTCAACAGCTTCTGTTGTTGAACCGAGGCAAATATACCCTTACGTTCGAGATCTTTATCCACTCTGGCGACTGATAGAAGTGCAGAATCTTGCAGCTCATGAGCTTGGTCGCGATGTTGTTATGCTCACCAGGGATGATGCATGTTCTGCAGACATCACATGGGCCAAGGTATCTGTGAAGGATCGAGTGTGTTTGCTCTTGGCAGCAAACTTGCGGGCGGGGATTCACCAACACGGCGCAGACGACCCGAGAGCCTGGGACGCCACCAACAAGCTGCAAAATGCACAGTTGATCCATGGAGATGCATTGTAATTATTGCGAGCATTCGTCAAGTCTTTGGTTCTGAGTTGTGACGAGAACCGAGAACCGCCGGTGCGGCGCATGAGGCGTAGTCAGAGTAATCTGGCGACCAGCATTTCTGGGGACTTTGGCCAGCACACAAAATACCCCTGAGTCACAGCTGAGGCCCCAATGATCTCATTTCTGTACACAGACATACATGAGAGAAGATATGTTCTCACAGTTTATTCTACGTATCTATTGACGCTGCTCAAACTTTCCGACAGCTCAAGCCGTAATCTAAGAGTGCCAGACCAGTGATGTATGTGTAGGGGAGGCAAGTTCCGTGCTTGCGATAAAGCGGGAGTCACTTGCTTAGAAGCGTTATCCGTGTAGCCAGGCCAAGTACCTATGTGCATGAATTCTCCGAAATGTCCGACTCATACCTGTTGGCGTGCTGAGCCTAAAGGGGATCCTCAAATAACCGAGGTTGTTACGATGAAGCTCCAGAGCCCTTTAGTTCACCTCCGTATTCAATAAGTACTTTACGAATTGAGCTGGATGGGAGGCTGAAATATTTCAAATGCTTGTGCTTTTTTTCGCATTAGAAAAGTCAGATATACTTGGAGGGTATAAGCCTTCAGTATGCCGGCAAGAAGGTTTACGCATATGAGCTAACGTCCGTCACGATTGTGAAGGGTGACTTGCACGCTTGGCGTCTTCTCGCACAACCACGGCTGCGCAGTGCAACACTGTGCCTCAAATTTCAAAATGGACCTTCGAATTTCGAAGCAAGCACTTTAGTCAAGTCGGTGGGATGTGGGAGGTGTTCGGGTGAAGCGCCTGCAGCGACGAGGCTCCATTCTCACGCAGCCGCCTTTACCGGGGCAGTTCGTTGGTACCGCAGCATCCACCATGAACTGTTGGCTGGATCCGGCCCAGCAGGATATCAGTAATCACATGATTCGCTGCATTCTCTTGATTTACTTGGTGACACCAACCCTTTTTACAGTTCAGTGGTGCTCTCAGAACCGAGCTTTCGTGGTTCTAGCGTTAAATTCTACTTCGAGCCAAATGCATGTCCGCGATTGAAAGCCCGTTGTTTCGCACGAGTCGTATTTGCCTGGCTTGATTCTGCTTCATATGTGTAGGTTGCTGTCTAAGTAGGCCTTCTTGAATCCGTTACATATTCTTCCGATTAGACATGAAGGTTGGCTCAGAGATAGGAGAATGCGCGTGGTCGCTGACCTGAGCTCCTATTCGCACCTTTCTAGCCGTCGCAGAGCGGTCTTGCTGAGTGCTCACATGCCTGGCATCAAGTAACAGTACACGTTACAAAATTTCACACGTCGCGACCGAGGTGTACGAATCGTGAAGGAGAGAAAACAGAAACTACTCTCCTGCCGGTATCAACTGGTTCCGTGAAGCATGTAAGAAATTGAAGTCTCTTGTCTTCATCAACGAAAGCTCTTCATTTGAAGGGCGACCGCGCCGATCACTCATCATCGCCGCCTCTGTCATTTCTTTTAATATGGTTGCAACTTCCGGTTTGGAACTGCGTTCATGCATCTGCCCCGATTGTATCCAAACTCGGCTGCAATTATTCATCTATACTTGACCTCATTTGGAAGTCGCATCCTGAGCAGGTTTATTGGCGACCACGACACATCATGAGCTGCTCAACACCAAGCTCAGAACATGTCGAAGGAGCCCTCAAGGAAGTTGGACCAAGCTGACTGCTGCGCACCGGTGGAAATCTTTTTCGCAGGCGAGACTTGCCATAATCAGGACGACAAGTTCGAATATGTGTCTACTCAGGCAAGCTTCCTATATCAAATACATGCTCGTAGAGAGTTGCCTTACGGTTCTTCCGCGTGGTACAACTCGCCTACAGTCCCGTTAACCTACCAACACAGCCCGTAAATAAGTACGGTCATTGGCTCAAAGGCTCGGGAAGACCCCACTTCATGATCGGCAACGATTCCGATATCACCTCGGACTAGCCCCACTATGGGATTTAGACTCTCTGCCACCGGAGGAAGGGCGGGTCCTCGGCGGCCCCGTCTTTCTTCGACTTTGAGCTCTATTTTGATGAAAGACGGCATGACCCGCCCTGGAAGACCGGAACATTCTCAGGAGAGGCGAGCAGAATACTCGGTGGATGACAGTTCATGAGCTCACCGACGCCCACAACCCGAAGGCGGTGCCGAATCGGCCGCAGACTTGGTGCGGCGAAGACCATACATGGCGAGCTTCTACAGAGCGCGCAGTCGTAATGGGCGTAAAAGCCCCTTTCCAGACCTTTCTTCTTGTGGGGTTGTCCCGAAGGAAGGGCTCTGCTGTACAGGAGCTTACGACTCACGACTCATCTTAAGGCTCATGCAGGCGTCCTTTATTTCACCTGAAGAGCGTAAACAAGAGGGTATTCTGGGATCCGAGAGACAGGAAACTGTGTAGAAGGCTCCACCGAGATGGAAAACTTCCGCGGTCGATGTTGGCTCGGGAATTTTGCTGTGGCTTTCGTCTGCTGGAACAGTGCGCCGTCATCACGTTACGCCGTGATCTACGCCACAAAATGGGTACGACCTTAGTATACTATCTTGCTCAAGCTTGACTCGGTTTAAGCTCTAGCCCCCAAGGCCAAAAGCTCTCCGGGCATGGATGCCGCGTGATTTGTGGGGAGAAAAATTTCCGCTGGGGTAGAACTTGAGCGTAGTGAGGTCATTCCGTTGAAGCTTGCTCGTGAGCTATCCTCTGAGAGGGCTCAAAGTAAGACACATGGCTGAGGGCCCTAAGGGCAGACGCGTAACGCGTTACTGCCACAAAGACAGCGCAGAAGATTGTACAGGACCAGAGTTACGTGGCACCCCGGTCTTCTGATGTTGTACCCGAGGTGCTAAATCAGACATTTCAATGCAAGGAACATGTCCCGACAAATGGAAAGACGGGTCTCCACACGAGCCAGGTTCGTCCCGACTCCTAGCCTGCCAGCCTTACCAGCCAATATGGCATTCCCGTTCATCGTGGCTGACGTGGACGGAGCTTGCCGACATAGGGGCTACTCGGCCCCCATCATATCTATCGGGCCAACTGGGGTCGATGCGAGAGCTCCAGATCACGGCCCTACTGCGCCTCTGCACTATGAGGCGTACCTACGGGACATGTGTGGGGGGATGTTCTCAATCGCAATGCGACGGGGACTGTCGGACAGCGACCTCGTCGTCGAGGGTTGAATAACGATGATCATGTTTATAAAAGCAGTCGTCCCAACTTTGTGTTTGTGGTCTTGAAACTCCTCACCATCTCAGGTTGTTTCCCTTTCTCTCCATCCACATTCGTTTCAACTATAATCCTAGGGCGTTTCCATCTTAACTTCACAAGCATGCCTCAGCTCTCCAAGGCGGCTGTCCGCGCCCTCGCGGCTGCTGCTAACGCGGCTTCTCTCACCGATCTCTGCACCGTCGAAAACGTCCAGAACGCGCTCCCCGCGAACGGCACTCTTCTCGGAGTTGATCTCCTTCCTTCCACCGTCACCGCGGCCGCGGTCTACAACGCCACCACCGGCGGCGGCGGCATGGGTGGAGCTTCCTCCGGCAGCTCGGCCACTTACAGCTACTGCAACGTGACGGTCCACTACACCCACACCGGCCACGGCGACAAGGTCGTCCTCAAGTACGCCTTCCCCAGCCCCGACGACTTCAAGAACCGTTTCTACGTCGCCGGAGGAGGTGGCTACTCCCTCTCCAGCGACGCCACCGGCGGTCTGGCCTACGGCGCTGCTTCCGGTGCCACCGACGCCGGCTACGACGCCTTCAACAACGACTACATGTCCCAGGTCCTCTACGGCAACGGCTCCATCAACTGGGATGCGACCCACATGTTCGGCTACCAGGCCCTGGGCGAGATGACCCAGGTCGGCAAGGCCGTTTCCAAGAGCTTGTACAGCTTGGCCGATGACCAGAAGGTCTACACTTACTACGAGGGCTGCTCCGACGGTGGTCGTGAGGGTATGTCCCAGGTCCAGCGCTGGGGTGAGGAGTACGACGGTGTCATTGCCGGTGCCCCTGCTTTCCGCTTTGCCCACCAGCAGGTCCTCCACGTCTACTCTTCTGCCGTTGAGCATGTTCAGGATTACCTGCCCCCTCCCTGCGAGTTGGCCAAGATCGTCAACTCCACCATCGCTGCCTGCGATTCGCTCGACGGAAGAACTGATGGCGTTATCTCCCGTACCGACCTCTGCAAGCTCAACTTCGACCTGAAGTCCGTCATCGGCGAGTCCTACTACTGCGCTGAGAAGAACAGCACCTCTCTCGGCTTCGGCTTCAACAAGAGAGGCCTCAACAAGAGACAGGCCGCCGGCAGCACCACCAGCTACCAGCCCGCCCAGAACGGCTCCGTCTCCGCGGAGGGTGTCGCCGTCGCCCAGGCCATCTACGACGGTATCTTCAACTCCGCCGGCGAGCGCGCCTACCTCTCCTGGCAGATCGGTTCCGAGCTCGGTGACGCTGCCACCGTCTACAACTCTGACACCGGCGCCTGGGAGCTCTCCATCCCTTCCACCGGCGGCGAGTACGTCACCCGCTTCATTCAGCTCCTCGAGCTCGACAACCTCTCCGACATGAACAACGTCACCTACGACACCCTCGTCCACTGGATCAACACCGGCTTCCTCCGCTACTACGACACACTCCAGACCACCTACCCCGACCTGAGCACCTTCCAGTCCTCCGGCGGCAAGCTCCTCCACTACCACGGCGAGTCCGACTCCTCCATCCCCGCCGCCTCCTCCGTCCACTACTGGCAGTCCGTCCGCTCCATCATGTACCCCAACGCGACCGACGAGGCAGCCCAGCAGGCTCTCCAGGACTGGTACCAGTTCTACCTCGTCCCCGGCGCCGGCCACTGCGGCACCAACAGCCTCCAGCCCGGCCCCTACCCCCAGAACAACATGAACATCATGATCGACTGGGTCGAGAACGGCAACAAGCCCGACCGCCTAAACGCCACCGTCACCTCTTCCACCAACGTCAACGCCGGCGAGACCCAGATGCTCTGCCAGTGGCCCTCGCGCCCTCTCTGGAAGGGCAACAGCTCCGACTTTGACTGCGTTGACGACGCCAAGTCCATCGACAGCTGGACCTACACCTTCCCCGCCTTCAAGGTCCCCGTCTACTAAGCGTCTCTTTTCGCTTAAGTCTACACGAAACCGATTTTCTTATTGTTGAAAAAGCGTGAAGTTGCCAAGAGGGTGGTGACTGTTGAGATAGAAGTTGCTTGTGGATAGTATCTGGGATGGCTTTGCATTTCTATTCGTACATTTGGTAGCCTTACCTTTAGGGCTCTATCCGAGTCTCATGGCGATGTATATAAATCAGATCCAGTCTGATACCCGAAATCTTTTAGAAAAGACCAATGTTGCAGTCTCAATGACCGTATATGTTTGGTGTGACGCCATCGAAATGGATCAAATACGTTTGACATGGTTTATGAATTTCACATACATGAAGATGACAACATTTATTATCAGTGAAGGTATGTAAAATCTCGCACCAAAATGTTTTCTAAGGCATCTGAACCGTCAACGACCGACCAACAACGACCGGAGGCACAGTGACAACCTGCGTCGCATTCATCGTCCCGCCTCTGTATGCATAGGTGAAAGTCCAACCAGAACCCGCACCTGCGTGCTCGCCCTTGTTGTTGACCACCACGATGCCAGCTGACACTGCCGGGTACTTCTTGACCATGCGGACGACGGCATCTCGTGCAGCTTCCTCCGGCGTCATGCCCCTCCTCATGCTCTCGACAGCCTGGTAACAGGGTAGGAATCTCATCATGATGTCGCCATCACCTGTGGCGCCGCAAGCCCCGACATCACCGTCAACATACGAGCCAGAGCCAGTGATAGGCCCATCGCCCACGCGCCCAGGAACCTTGAAAGAAGCGCCGTTTGTCGACGTACCCGCTGCCATGATTCCATTCGCATCGATGGCTGTCATGGAGATGGTGTCGTGAGAGGCTTGGGCGGAGTTTGGCGCGATGAGGTTGAAATAGTCTGGAGAGCTGGAGTCAAGCTCAACCGGCGTGTACGGGCCGCACGCAGTCTTCGGGTCAGGGGTGACGTTCTGCCTGTAGTTTGACTGGCAGTTGCCCTTCTTCCACTCGGCGCATCTTTCGGTGGAGGCCTCGGTTGATAGGGTCTCCGCGGTGAAGCCGTTCTCAATGGCAAATTCCGTCGCGAGGTCGCCGGCCAGCATTGTGTGCGAGGTGTATTCAAGCACATGGCGGGCCACGCCAATCGCATTCTTGACACGACGGAGGGCGGCGACGGAGCCGGACTTCATGGTCACTCCGTCCATGATCATGGCGTCGAGAGTCGTCTCGCAGTTCTCGCCCGGGGACCCTCCGAAACCGACGCTGCCGTCGCATTGGTTGGCTTCGCAGGTCGCGCAGCCGATCTCGACGGCGTCGAGGGCTGAGGTGCCCGGCTTCAGGAGCGCCTGGTAAGCCGCGTCGGTGGCCGCAGTGAAAGGTCCGCCCCATGTGTTGATGACCATGGGGAATCCCGGGGAGGATTGACTGAAGACATGGCCGGGATGAAGGGAGAGGAGTGCGATGAGCTGGAGGAGTGGGGCCATGCGGCGGGGCCGGGTGTCCGGCATTGTGGATGACGGCCGGAGGAGAGCCGCAGACCAGTCGGACAACCTAGAGCGGAGGTAAGTGAAGTCGGACGAATTGCGTCTCCTCTCGCGTAAGACTGACTGATTGAGGATGGTGAGGGATGAGTGGTTGAATTGGTTGGCGAGGCGTCCTTAAGAGCACGGATGCAGTGCGCCGCTTCGGCATCGTTTACCCCGCGAGATAGGCTGATCTGCTGCGATAAACAGGGATCGAGGGGTTACCACGTTACTCTGAACCCGCCAAGAGACCATGATCCTGCATCTTATCAACCTTCCTTTCTGAGCACCACCGTCAAGACTCCGGAAATCGGTATTTTGAGCAAGGAGATGGCGGACCACCCATTAAATAGTCGAACATCCGGGCCGAGAAAGCCTTATCAGATTATGGGCCGAAATGGCCTGCCGCTTCATCCCGAGTCAGGTATCATCAACACAAAGAAGCGCAAGTGGACACCTGCCACTGAAAGTTTATCGCATTTGAGATGACACAATCGCTCTTACAATACTTCATCACTAAATTCCTTTGCCGCTGCCAGTACCCTGTTAACATGTTCCTCCTCGTGGGTAATGTTCAACGCAAGAAATCCCCGGCGACCGACGTAAATCCTCTTGCTCAGCATGTAAAAGAAAAATAAGTCTCGTAGGTTATCTGCCGAGGGTCCGTTGAAGTGCACTCCAATGACGCTGCCGAACCCACTCAGAGTAAGTATCGACTCGTCCTTGGCCTTGAAAAGAGCGCCAAGTCCGTCCCTCAGCTTGTCGCCAAGGCCATTGTTCTTATCGAGAGCTACTCTCGAAAGCAGCTTCGTCGCAGCAACACCTGCCGTCATGGAGAATTTGTTGTTGTTCCAGGTGCCGGAGTGATGCAGGCTCGTGGGAGACGACGGGTCGTACAGGTCCATGATTTCCTTCCTTCCGCCAAAGGCACCGAAGGAGAAACCGCCTCCGAAGTGTTTGCCGATTGTTGTCATGTCGGGAACAATTCCGTGGATTTCTTGCAGACCGCCGTAGTTGAGGCGCGAGGTAATGACTTCGTCAAAGATCAAGATAGCGCCGACGCGAGTGGCCTCGTCTCTGAGAAATTGGAGGAACTCTTTCGTTCCAGCGAACATGCCGGCTGCGCCTTGAAGCGGCTCGACGATGATGATGCCGAGTTCTTCAGTAATGAGAGGGCGTGTGTACTCAATGTCGTTGTATCGACCGTGCACGAAGTCATGAGGGAGAATCAACGGGTTTCCTGGCGTGAAGGCTAGTGTGCCACCGTGATAGCCATTTTCGAAAACCAAAATCTGGTGAAATCGTTAGCAAGCTCCGGTACTAATTTAATTGAAGTAGCGATTACCTTCTTCCTCCCAATAAAGTGCAGAGCGGTAGCAATGGCCATGGTGTTGGCCTCTGTACCTGAGTTACAGAACCTGATGGCGTCGATACTTGGGAACCGATCCACAAGCAACTTTCCCAGCTCGCCCTCTTTAGGTCCGGGTCCGCCGAGGGTAAATCCGGACTTGGTAACACTCTCAATCGCAGCGATGATGTCGGGATGCGAATGACCAAACATGCCAGCGCAGTACTCAGAGAGAAAGTCAAGGTATTCCTCCCCGTCCATGGACGTTAAATGGCAACCATGGCCTCCCGAAAACGCCAGTGGAAAAGGTTCATAGTAGAGAACGGAGCGGGTTGTTCCTCCTGGCAAGGAGCCGGACGCCTCCTTGTTGCATTGCAGCGACTTTTGGTTATCTGAAACGTATTTGTCGAGGTACTGGGCTAGCTGATGTTGAATCTTGATGGCTTTGGAACTAATGTCCGCAGCATGAACTTCGGCGGCAGTCATAATGGAGTGCGAATGTTTGGAATAGCGATAAAACAGAGGCTCGAAATGGGGAGACGATGGTTTGAAGTCCTCAGCTGTGAAAAGTCGCCAAGAAATCTACTGATTTGCAAGATGAAGCAACGGAATATATACTCATGAGATCAAGTCTTCCAAGGATAACTATCATTGCGATATCTCATCCCGGAGCACCATCGGCGTGCCGGCCGTCTAATAGAAATGTCAATCGCATTGCTGATAAGACGAACCCCGCTCGGGTATGCATGCGAGCGGTAAGCCGAATCCGGGGTCGGCCCGGCCGATTGATCGGAAAAGAAGCAGAACCGAAAGCCGAACGTTGGGTGAGTCCTGACTAAGGCACGAAAGGAATCAGTCCGATTGATGGGATCAAATGTCCGTTGAGGATTAAGCAGTGGATGCGACGAACTGACAGTTATTTAGGTTCTTTCAAAACGAGACGCTGACCCATGGTCAGGTTGGCTGCGGGGCTGATCTGAGGCCAATGCTCTTGTGTAAGTCATCAGCATTTCCAGCTACGTTGATTCGCCAGACTGGACACAGGTTTTGTCTGGGGCTTCATGTCTGAAAATAGAGTCAGGGCCAGCTCCACTTACTTTGCGAGCTGTAACCACTGCCTTGGGTACGATAGGATAGCCTACTGGTCCCGAATCTGCTGCAGAAAGCAAAGCGATGCTTCGGAGGTATTTCTCGAGGCATGAGCAATGGCGTGAGCTGTCACGAATTGGATGGTTGGACTCCAAAAGAATGTAGATAGAGCAGAACAACTGATCAGCGTTTAATCTTCCAGATTGTCCCACGTTTCTTGAAATGCCTTGGCTACGAGTAATAGTTGCGCGAAGTTCACCACAACCGTGGAGATGCTTTTGCTTTTGTCTGTTTATCCCTTTCCCCATAATGCACACATGTATGCAGGCTCCGTATTCTGGAGCGTATGATGACTTTTTCAATGATTGTAAATGCTGGCGAGTGCCTGTGTCTCGGAGCGGACTGTTCAACCAGAACGCGCTGCCGCTTTCTCGGTCTCTGTCATCTCTTTCGCCTGGATTCTCGCAGCTCTCCATTGCTGGCCCCAGTACCAATGAATAACCGCCAACGGCCCAACGACGACCATGACAAGTGCAAGTCCAAGAAACGCGGCCCCGGGTCCTGTTGAAGCGATAAACTGTTCTATGAACGCCACCCCAATCGCTCCTAGGCCGCATCGGACGAGGTTGTTGATGGCTGTAGCACTTGCTCCTTTGCCGGGGCACAAATCTGTGACGAGAGTCTGATTGAGGGCGAACACAGCGTTGCTCGTCGCGGCGATGAAGAACTGTAGTGTAAGCGGAACAGCGATCCAGCCTGTCAATGAGGTCGCGGAGGGAAAGTTGAGCGAGACCCCGTAGGCACCTGTTGACGCGATGAATATGACGACGACCCATGGCAAACGACGGAGACGCGCTCGTTCTATCGGGAAGTCGGCGGGCATGTTCTTGGCTGTCAGCTTTTCGGACTTCTCCATGTTATGGGATGCCTTGTATGCCTCTTCTATTGCTTTGTAATCTCGTGTCATTAGCTTTCCAGCTATGGCTGAGCCCACGATAGTTCCGAATCCTGTGAAAGAGTGAGTCAGATTTCGTGTAAGTCGTCAAGAGTGGAGCATAGGTATAACATACCATTGGGTAGAAACGCCAAGCCAATCTGGAGTTCATTTAGGTTGAAAAGCTGCTTGAACAATCCAGTGGTACTCGATGTGACCATGCTCCAGATGGTGTAAACAACACCGCCGAATATGAGGTTGATGAGTATGTCTCTCTGTACGAGAAGACGCAAAGGCTCCAGGAAGGTTGCAGCTGTCACCTTCTTCCGCGGAAGGGGCTCTTCCGGGTCTTCTAGATAATCAGGCTCTTTTGTAACAAGGCGTATCAGGGGCTTATAGACACCCCCCAGCCGGAGCGAGCCATTCCCGGCAATGCTTCGCATGGTCTCGGGCAGAAATATGATAATCACAATAGTGACTACCGAAGAGAGTATCAAAAGAAAGACAAAGATGGATCGGAAACCGAGGAAGTTTGCGAGCAGACCGCCGAGCACAGGCCCAACTGCTATGCTGAAGTTTCGGACTTCGAGATTACCTCCGAGTAAGCAACTCCGAGCACCAACCACTCACTGCAGAGCATGAAACAGGAGGCATCGACTTACTCGCCTGGTAAAAACTAATGAACTCACCCCGCTCCGCGGGAGGAGAGATATCCTGGATGACACCGTTTCCTACAGCGGTGGTTAGAACTTGATGACGAGTGTGTTTTCTTTAAAAATAGTTTTGGTGGGTTTGGGCTGATCGCTCTCGGGTCGGGCTTACCGATGCTAACGGTCGAAGCGCTGCCGGCCGCTTGCAACCCTCTGAAAACCATGAGAATGGTGAAATTTGGCGAAAAGCTGAGACCAATGTTGGAAACGATGTAGACGGCAAAAGAGGCGATGTAGATAGGTCGTCTCCCCAAGGCATCTGAGATTGAACCCCAAAAGAGCGGCGAAATGCCTTGGATAATGAGATAGGAGGTGATCGTCAACGAGACCATCTCGGCGCTCACATGGAGATCCTATATTAAAGTTAGCTAATGTTCGTAAATCCGAGGTACAAAGGGGCCTACCCGTGAGATGGCATCGAGCGAGGGAAAGTAGATATTTGACGATAGGCCAGAGAACAACCCAGCTGTGCCTATAATGACGATAACAAACCACTTTTGCCTCTTGGTGAATATGTGATAGGGCGGTTCTGGAGGCTGCTCCTGCAGCGTGTCCTCGGCACTTGAGTCGTCGAACGGATTCCGAGCATCGTCTGCCTGCGCGTCTGCCACAGAGTTCGTGTCTGCAAATGGATTGCGGAACTGGCTGTCGCTGTCACTATCCCTCTCCCGAATGGAAGGCAGTGACATTGCTCGATCAAAGAAGGGATCCAGGTCTGATAAACTCGATGACCCGGGGCTTCTAGACCGGAGGCTCATGCGATCCCGCACAGAAACCCGCGTCGGCGATATGTGTTCGTCGTGTTCTCGGCCTTGGTTGAGATCCGTCTCGCTGGTCAGCAGGTGCAAACCACCCGAGGCGGCCGCAGATATGCTTCTGCGAATGCCCTGCTGCAGAGTGCGAGGAGACGCACTTCCAGCAGCTGCCATTGTCAATAGTGATGCCGACTGTTTCGAGGACATTGGCTTCCAGGACTACAACTTGCGCGACCCTCGAATTTTGTGAAGCGATCTGTGTAAATAACGAGTCTAAATTGCTTTTCAACGTTCAGCCAAGATTCGAAATCCCGAAACACAGATCATCAACTCGTCCGCCAAGACCTCTGACGGGCGATTTCAGACTAACACCGACTCTTGTTGAGTCCCGGGCGTCTGTATCCACGCCTCTCCCACGGCAAACAGTCGCCGACGTAAAGGAGTACGCAGACAAGCCTGACACTGCCCGGCAAATGTTCCCAAAAATAGTCTATTCGAGAGTATCAGAGTTTACGCTGCAATTCGTTTTGCGGGTGCATACGGCCGACGGGATCAATCTGCCTTGGGGTGATTGACTTTTACCCAAATCAGCTCGTAACGCTACGCTACTGGCTGGCCTGTCAGTAAGCGTGAAACGCTCAAGGGTGATGCGCCAAGCTTAAAACCACTCGCCGGCCTGCCATGTGTCACCACCTTGCATTCAGCTGCGCGGTAATAAAGACACCGGAACCTCAACCCTTGCTCGGGGTCACCATATTGCCTCTCTCCACCCAAGAGGAGCCGATATCTAATGTCAACTTTACCCCGCGGAAATTTCCTCCTGTCGCTGAAATCCTGTCGAGACGATTACGCCCAGACGCTGGTGCCAACGTTGGACCTGTTTGACTTGAAGTAAAACCAGAGGTATGGGACCGGTTACATTACAAGACGTGCTAGTGGTTCATATTCTGACAAGACCAGACTCATGTTGACTCAGCTGTCATGACAGTCAGTCCCCCTCGGGACATTCTCATAGGCTTCCAGGTCTGAACTTGTTCTACCACTGGTTTGTCTGACCTGTTCCACTTCTCTCTAAAGCCTAGAGATCCCAAGTCTTACACACACATCCTTCCAGATCACCTCCAAGACTCACACTCATAATGGCTGGTCTATCGATGGCCAACAGGAGGGCGGCTCCTCCACCCAGGCTGGACCTCGAGATTGTCCGTAGGCAACAACAACAAGAAAAGCAGCAGCAGCAACAACAAGGTCGCACTGATCCGAACACTCCTGCTGGGCCACTTACACCAAACCGGCCTTTGATCGTCTCGGAGCTACCACCAGTTGCGATCCCACATGCAACAACATCAAAGCCGGCTCTGCTCACTCCATCATCAACCCGTCCATCAACACCGATACCGACATCAACACCTCCGCCTCCTGATCCAGCTACTCCTACACTGTCAGTTCCAAGAACAACATTTCACACCTCAACACGAGTTCCATTAGTTCCATCTGTTCAACCAGCTCCATCAGGACCGAACTTTGGCGGCAGTCTCAGTCAGGCTAGCATTAGCCCAACAAACACGGTCTTCGTCACTCAGCCTCCGCAAACGGTCACCGTCACCGCGCCTGCTATAGTACCTACATTTCCCCCTACATCATCTACATCCTCTACGATTCCACTCCCCAGTGAGGCTGCCGACACAACACCGCAACCGTCCGCTTTACCGGCCAACAACGGTGTTTCCTTCACCACAGGGGCAGGAGTAGTGGTAATTGGGGTGCTGGGTGGCATAGGTACGATCCGTGAAACCTGGGCTTCTAGGACATTGTGCTAAAACTATCAGCTTCGGCCTCATTGTTAGGTATGGCCGGTACGATACTATGGCGGAAGCACAAACGCCGCAGGCGTGAAGGGGTAACACGATGATGATTGCTGTTGAACTGACGCGTCACTAACCGTATTTTAGGAAAGTGGTGGGCTAATAGGAAAATCTATGTGATGGTTGGTGTTCTGATGCACTTTGAAAATACCGAGACATCGTTTTGCTTCTCGACTCTTCGACATTCCACTTGAGTCGAATCAAAAGTTATCCTGGTGGCTTCCAGTGGCTACAATATCTATACACCACCTTTCTGACGGCTACATCGTCTTCTCACTGAAGACAGATCTCAACACGATGTAGCCGCAGTGCTATCAGAATTCCCATAATATGTTCTTTGCAACTCGGACGCAATCAGCATTATTCATCAGGCTAGCGAAAATATGAAATAATTGAAGCATTTGCAGATCTGTGGCCCCTCACTGGTTGCGAGTTTCCCGTCAAAAAGAGCAGTGTATGTTCATTGATCTGGAATTGAAGTTGTTCCCAAATATGTGCGAAGCAAGTGATTTTCTTGATAATGTTCGTGATATGTGAATCCAGCTTCAAACTAGGCTCGAGCAAAGAATACCAACTTGGACCGCTTACGGTTGCCGCACTTCTCTCTTAGGCCTGTTCTAGGAAGAACCGGGAAATGTCTCGTTTGATTGGGTAGTCACACCCGCGGGCCGCGGCTGGAGATTTCCTTCGGAGCATTATATCTACGGCTGAATATCTGCCAGCCACACAACTGGACCTAGCGCAACCAGTGAACAGCTCTTCCTTGCACGTCATGTTTCACCCGGAAGGTGTCAATGTTAGAAGGAGGAGTAGCACGAACTACAACTGGTAACTTGACGATACATGCATCGACAACAGCTGTCATCTACTTAAAACAGCCGCCGCATGAACTCTGATAAGACTTCAGCTACATGACCCCGTCGGGAAGGCTGAGAAGCCTAAGATATCATGCGCGACATGTGATTGGTCGCAACAGTTCAAGACGAGACAAAATGTTGAGCAGCGGCTGGAGCAGTACTCTTGTTTAGGGTCGAAGGCAGTCGGCGAAACGTTATTGAACTTACTCCAATAGTAACAAGTAACAATTCAACATATCCTGCGAGTGATCGGTTCATGCACTTCGAGTTGCCACAACTGGGTTGCACCTGTAGGGACTGAATTCCCAATCGGCTTCGCACACCGTCTGCCCGTGTTCAACCCACGTGGAACTCAAAGCTTACTCCAGCCAATTATTCTGTGAAAGCACTAATAATGTGTGAATTCAGTTAGCCGTATCAGCCTCCAAGGTGACGTCGCCCAGACCTCAAATTCCATAAGTACGGTTGACGTTGAAGAAAAACTCACTGATAATGACCCATCAGTGCTAGGATACAGGGGGTTTGCTAGCATGTGACTACGGATCCATCCAACGGTGTTCTGGGCTCTCAATGCTCCGCCTTTCAGAGTCTATGATATCAACGATTGCGAACGACTGACCGGTGGGGTCCAGCGACAGTGCGATGCCGGTCAATCGGCGAATTGAGCGGATGGCAAAAAAAACAAAAACACGAGTCGGGGATGTTTCGCACGAATCCCGGAGTTGCCAAGCGTTGCGGGGGAGAGGAAGAAGCTTGGGCGCAGCAGTGGTCAGCAGCCATCAAAATCGAAGAAGGTTCAACAACGCATAAGCCCAATGTCCAATGCGAGCTGGCCGTTTTCTTTTCGTCCTCCTCGACAAGGCCGTAGAGATTGCTGTCGATGTGTGTGATGAAGATTTGATATCTTGGGATATCGATATCCCATTCGCCTGTGATAATCCCCGTACACCATCAAAAGTCCGCCGGTCATCGGCGGTCTTAGCTTCAGAGGCCTTCTATCGAGTGCCATCTCTGTCGCAGACTACCCTGGTTTGGGAGCTAGCGTTGGTAATCAGAGAACCAGTGTCTGGCGTCGACGCGGCACCGAGGAAACAAAGTGGGGTTGAGTGACGTCGCCGAGGTTCTCGAGAAGCTTACCCCCGGTCGCTTTCTCATGCAGCCAGGTATATATAGCAAGTAGAGAGGGGTCGCGCGGGCGGTTCGGTTCGGCGAATATGAACAGTTTGCTGCATGCTTCGTTTTTCTTCACTGCAGAGAAACCACCTGAGGTTAGAGGAAAGTGAGCATACTGCGGGGGTAGTTTTAAGACAACAGCCATTCACGCACAGCGTATTTCAACAGAACACAACATGGAGTAATAGCAGAAGTGGACAGGCTGGGGCTGCCGGCTCGGAGCGAACGGAATGTGGACAGACGGGGCAGAGGGACCCAGAGGTACCTCCACTCTGCTGCAACTTAATGTCACTGTTTAACTATTCCACATGGTTTCTGCTTATCATGTTCGTTTCGATTGGACAAAAGATGGTGTGTCGATCTGCTGCACATTCCCTTTCCCCAGGCTCACAGGCTCCCTCGATGGGTCCTCCCCGCACGGCATTTTGACTCGGCCCAAGCTACTGTTCCAAGCTGGTCACGCAAGTTCACGGTACTGTTGCATCTTATTGGGACTGTGAGGCTAACGGCCCAGTGTGGCAATGCCTCCGAAATCTGCTAGAGCGAGCTCTGAATCATCCCAATGTGCGCGTCATAGCAACCAGAGCACGCCCTAGCTGGCTCTTAACAGATGGATAACAAAGGGACAATCGTTTTGTTGCCTCTCGCCTCGAGGTGAACGTCCGTGGAAGGAGAGAACAAATAGAAGGCTTTGCGGATTGACCGCAACGGGCTTGCCGCGATTGATCTAGATCATCTCAAACACAAGGACCCTGAGAACATCGCCATCCCGTGGCTTTCCTAGCTCCCACCATTTGTCATACCAGGCCCGAGCTGCCTCCCAAGCTGCGCTCCCACGTCCCTCGCCCCCACCCGCACTAGAATCGAGTCTGGAATGGGTGGCTGCTGTCACGCGTTAGTGCAAGATAATTGGGAAATAGATGTGAGCGCACAGTGGTATTCACTATGTACTCGGCTTTGGTCCATCCCGCCCAACCGCCAACAAGATTCTGGCTATTGGTCATGCAACTGGATGAGGGGTCGGGGGGCGTCGCCATGACCCTTGGCCATAAAACGCGGGGTTCTCGTCCCTCTTCCGCGCTCTAGAATAGTGATCGGCTTTCTTTTTTACTTGTTGCTTTTGCCTTTCTTCCATCAATTGAAGACGCAAAACAGAAAACACCATTGATACCACAGCAGATTACACACGAGAATAATCAGCAATCATGGCCGAGAGCAAGTGTCCAGCCACCCGTCTGATGAACACCGGCGGAGGTGGCACCAAGAACCGCGACTGGTGGCCTGACGCCTTGAAGCTCAACATTCTCCGCCAGCACACTCCCGTCACCAACCCATTGGGACAGGAGTTCGACTATGTTGCTGCGTTCAAGACCCTCGACTACGAGGGCGTGAAGAAGGACCTCACAGCTCTGATGACCGACTCTCAGGACTGGTGGCCAGCTGACTTCGGTCACTACGGAGGTCTTTTCATCCGTATGGCGTGGCACAGCGCAGGAACATACCGTGTCCAGGACGGTCGTGGAGGTGGTGGCGAGGTAAGTCACACGCGGAGTCCGCTCCGAACCCCCGCGTCAGATCAAGTTGCTAACCGAACTTCGTCGCACAGGGCCAGCAGCGATTTGCTCCTCTTAACAGCTGGCCAGACAACGTCAGTCTCGACAAGGCCCGCCGCCTATTGTGGCCTATCAAGCAAAAGTATGGCAACAAGATTTCATGGGCCGATCTCATGATCTTGGCCGGTAATGTCGCCCTCGAGTCTATGGGCTTCAAGACTGCCGGATTCTCTGGTGGCCGCCCCGACACCTGGGAGGCCGATGAGTCCGTCTACTGGGGAGGTGAGAACACATGGCTGGGTAACGATATCCGCTATGCCCACGGCCACGAGGGCAAGGACGGCCCTGGTGTCGTCGACGGATCTCAGGACACCAAGTCGGACATCCACACCCGCGAGCTCGAGGCGCCCTTGGGTGCTGCCCACATGGGTCTCATCTACGTGAACCCTGAGGGTCCCGATGGCAACCCTGATCCCGTTGCTGCTGCGAGAGACATCCGTGTTACCTTCGGCCGTATGGCCATGAACGACGAGGAGACCGTTGCCCTCATTGCTGGTGGTCACTCATTCGGCAAGACCCACGGCGCTGCCCCCGACAGCAACGTTGCGGCTGAGCCCGAAGGCGCTCCCATTGAGCAGCAAGGCCTTGGCTGGGTAAACAAGCACGGCTCCGGCAAGGGTCCTGACACTATCACCTCTGGTCTCGAGGTCACCTGGACCGCCACTCCTACCAAGTGGAGCAACAAGTACCTCGAGTACCTGTTCAAGTTCGATTGGGAGCTCACCAAGAGCCCCGCGGGCGCGAACCAGTGGGTGGCAAAGAACGCTGAGCCTATCATCCCCGATGCCTACGACCCCAACAAGAAGCACCTCCCCACCATGTTGACTACTGATTTGTCAATGCGCTTCGACCCCGAGTATGAGAAGATTTCTCGTCGCTTCCTCGAGAACCCCGACCAGTTCGCCGATGCCTTCGCCAAGGCCTGGTTCAAGCTCACCCACCGTGACATGGGCCCCCGTTCCCGCTACGTCGGCCCTGAGGTTCCCACTGAGGAGTTCATCTGGCAAGACCCCATCCCTGAGGTCAACCACGCCGTCATCAACGACCAGGATGTTGGCGCCCTCAAGAAGGAGATCCTCGCCACTGGCGTTGATGCTTCCAAGTTAATCTCTACCGCCTTCGCTTCTGCGTCCACCTTCCGTGGCAGTGACAAGCGCGGAGGTGCTAACGGAGCTCGCATTCGTTTGGCTCCCCAGAAGGACTGGAAGGTCAACAACCCTGGCCAGCTTAAGGAGGTCCTGTATGCCCTCGAGAAGATCCAGCAGAAGTTCAACAGCTCCGCCTCTGGTGGCAAGAAGGTATCTCTGGCCGACTTGATCGTCCTTGGTGGTGTTGCCGGTGTTGAGCAAGCCGCTCAGAACGCGGGACACAACATCACCGTTCCCTTCACACCTGGCCGTGCCGACGCGTCACAGGAACAGACCGACGTTGAGTCTGTTGGCCACCTCGAGCCTATTGCCGATGGCTTCCGCAACTACGGCAAGTCAACACGCCGCGTCAAGACCGAGAACTTCTTGGTTGACCGCGCTAATCTCCTCACCCTGACGGCCCCCGAGCTTACCGCTCTGGTCGGAGGTCTCCGTGTCTTGAACACGAACTACGACGGCTCCAAGCACGGTGTCTTCACCAGTCGCCCCGGTGCTTTGACAAATGACTTCTTCGTCAACCTCCTGGATATGGGCACCGTCTGGAAGGCCACCAGCGACCCCGACGTCTTCGAAGGTAGCGACCGTAAGAGCGGTTCCAAGAAATGGACTGCCAGCCGTGTCGACCTGGTCTTCGGCTCTCAGGCTGAGCTTCGCGCTATCGCCGAGATCTACGGCCAGGCCGACGGTGGCCAGAAGTTCGTCCAGGACTTCGTCAAGGTATGGGACAAGGTTATGAACTTGGACCGCTTCGATGTCAAGAAGGGTTCGAACCTCCCAAGCCGTCTTTAGATTGACGGTCCACGATAAATCAAAAAAACTGTTAAAGTGCTGGGCATGATGACGATAGGTATCTTGCTCTCTGTTATGAGATTCCCGATGTAGCCTATCAAGTTTGCAAATAGGGCAATGTATTTATGTCTTGGATTGTAATAAACCCTTCCACTCGATGTCCTGGTCCTTCTGATCTCTACAACTCACAATTTACTCATTGTGTGATGATTGCTACGCACTTTCACGATGCATTGGATGTCGGAGCCATCACCAGAGCTCATAGATCATCTCACCAATGGCTTAGAACAGTCGTCTTAGCGGCCTGCCGTTGCTTGTCCATCATAGGTGTCATCCTGAATGGACAAAGCTTTGTTTCATCGAGCGTTACCTACGCAGCCATGGACACGTTCCCGATCAATGGTATGCTTCGTACCTATGTCAAGTAGCATGATAGGGCCACGGACGTTATCACTAGAAAGGCCTTCTCGAGGTCTTCTCGCACGCTCAGGCTCTGATAGGTGGAGCAATACACTCAAAGCTCCTGTCTCAAACACTTCGTTCTCGTTTTGTGTGTTTGAGGCTGTAGTCAGTTGGTGTCCAGGCGAATTGAGTGTGCGGACCCTGCATGTTGCGACTCTGTTACGCGATATCATCAGACGAACCTGCCAAGCGGCTTTCAGGCCTCGTCCGCGGATGTTGTCACCTTTTACCATGCCTAATTAGCTCGGAAGTCTGCGCAAGCTTTATTCCGATCTAATATTTAACGAGATACATTCCAGGATAGGACAAATGAAGTACCTTGATGGACCGTCTCAAAAGCTCAATGTTCGAGCTTCTGCCCACCACAGTAGTTCAACCAGCCCGGGAGCATTTGTTTACACATGACGGAGTTTGGACATCAAGGGCTTTTCTAGGCAACGACTTCCTTTATCCTTGTTTGAACCAGTTCACGGATTACAAGTCCTCTTCCCATATTTCACCTTCTCTCGAAGTCCGTATTATACACTTGAAAGCGTGATGGTGACCGGGTTGCCAGCGTCCGTGCCGTTCTCGCACTGCAATGAAAACGCTATCCCCTTGCATGTAGCCCGACCAGCATTGGGAGGGCGCGCAATCTGGCTAGAGAATGAGTTGCAGGAGTTTCTTTACAACGAAGGCGGAAACCCGTATGTTCGATGGCAAGGGATGATAGCAGGAGGCCGGCCGGGCGAGGCTCCCGCGAAGCCCATTGTGCAAGATGGTTTTGGAACACAGAGGGATGAGTTCGAGCCCAGATTTGGACGCCCCTTTGTGTCGGAAAAGCAACTCGTTCGGTCGGGGATTCTCGAGAATCGGTTTGGGGAGTACTTAGACTTGTTTCCCTGAGTGTATTGAATCAACAAAATGCGATGGCAAGTATTGTTTAATGCACAAAAAGTTCTATATTGACTGAAATGCTCTCGTAAGATGTGTAGCGTGATTCAGATGCAGCGTTGCTGACGAGACTCTCCAGTTACCTACCCTCCATCTCTAGGTAGACTACATAAGTAATTCCTTACAGCCACACAGGAAAGAAAGGTTTATAGGAACGAATTATTTGTGACATAGTTATCCAGACTTAAGCCACCCCACAACAAACATACAAATTCGCCTGGAGCCCAGAACAGTTCGTCTTGACAGAAGGATTCCATTTGTAAAAGTCATCCAGAGCAATTCCCCGGGCACCACAGATCGCCCAGCACCCGTCACCCGACTGAACGAGGTAAAAGTTGACGCAGTTCGTGATCATGCCCTCTTTCAGGGGGCTCTGCGACCAGAATCATTGAAGAAGAGCAACTACTCCGAGAGTTTTTCTTTTGATAAGCAAGTAAGATCCAATCTAGCCGGTCGCGTAAAGAAATTTTGACGAACCGCCGCGGCTGCAATACGCGCATCTTTTCAACATTTAAGGCGGACATCGCATTAAATCAGAGTGATAATCGGTATGTGAGTGATTCTGAGTTCAAATGATAAGTACATACTGTCTGGTGGTTTTTACATATTGTCTTCAATGGTTTTCAGCGGAATATTAGGCGTTATGCACCGCCAGTCGCGTCGAAGACATAGCTGGATACAGCTTGAAATAGGGCAAACATGATAGAGAACACGCCTTTTGGAAAGGATTCACGTGAAAGAAAGGGTAAATCAGCCCGCCGTTGAAGATTATTGGTGAGCCAGCCACCCTGTTCAAACGTTCAGTGCGTTAAAGTGAGCCAAGACTGCCGAAGCAAGGTTGCGTCTATCATCATTGTGGGGTTGCAGCACATCATCCCGCGATCGCTCTGTGAGCTTCTTAGCTACTCAATCTAAACGGCCGATTGTAGCATTGGATGTGATTACGTTGGTTCCAGTTACCGATATCGCATGCTGTTATCACTGTTTCTTCACTCCCACCCTGGTCATTTCTTCCTTCGCGTCTTGTCCCTCCACTTTTCACCAACTCGGTCTCCAACTTCACAAGCCTGTGGTGCATCAGAAAGATTGTAACTCTCTTGGATTATATTGCGCAATGGCTCATCTGAAATTCTGAAGACGCTAAGACTGGCCCAGACGGGTCCAAAATGAAACATATATCACGAGCACGAGCCTCCGTTTATTTTTGACTTGGTCAACCAAGTGATTTCGAGACTTCGAGTACTCCACCTAAAGCTGTCAGATCATTATGGCATCGGCTTTGAAAGAGTCCGTCCCGCGGGACAAATGGTGGAAAATCAAATGGTTTTCTGACGACGACACCCCGGAAGAGCGCCGTCTCATCACCAAGATCGACATGTTCCTGGTCCCGTACTCTGTCCTAGGATATTGGGTTAAGTACATCGACCAGTCTAACTTGAACAATGCCTACGTGGCCGGGATGAAAGAAGATCTTGGGTTCTACGGCAACGAACTAGTACAACTCCAGACCCTCTTTACCCTTGGTTCAGTGCTTGGACAAATTCCCTTTTTGTGAGCCCTCTTGTTGGAGTTGACTGTTTTGTTGCCAGCGCTGACAGGGTCTGCAGATTCATCATGACATATGTTCCTATACAGTATCTGGTGCCGATATGCGACGTCCTTTGGGGCGTGTTCACTCTCCTTCAGTATCGCGTCAACTCTTATGCGGAGTTGGCAGCGTATCGGTTCATGGTAGGCTGGTTTGAAGCCGCCTTCTTCCCCGCTATGCACTACGTTTTTGGTATGTCTTGACCTTTCATCAGCCATTTCGCTGCTCACTCGAAGCCAGGTTCTTGGTATAGGGGCCACGAGATTGCTCGCCGTGGTGGTATTTTCTACACGGGGTTGGCTGCGGGCACTCTTACTGCAGGCTTGATCCAAGCGGGCGCATCAACTTCTTTGGAGGGAGTTCGTGGTAAGATCACATTTAAAAACTTGAGAATTCCTTGGGTCAGATTATTGAATTCATCATACAGGTATGGAAGGATGGCGCTGGATGTACATCATCTGTGCGTTAATCACAATTCCTGTAGGCATCCTGGGTTACTTCGTCATCCCAGGAACCGTCGATCAGCCCAATAAATGGTGCGTCAACGACAATGATCTTCGAGTTGCTCGAGAGCGCCTCGAGAAACATGGGCATGTACTACACGGCAAGATGAGATTTGGTCATATCAAGCGCACCCTTTTGGGGTTCCGTTTCTGGCTGGTTATCACGACAGACGTTCTTTTCTGGAACGCAGGTATCCACAAGAACACCGGATCTTATCTCCTCTGGATCAAAAGTCTCGGTAGATACAGTGCAGCAAAGGTCAACGAGCTCGGCACTATTTCGCCGGCGTTGGGTATTGCCTACACGCTCATCGCCTGTTTCGCTTCGGACCTTTTCCTCGGACCAGCATGGGCCATCACTATTTGCTCCTTCTTGAACGCTGTGGGACTAGTCTTGTTGACCATATGGACAGTTCCTGAAGCAGGCTTGTGGTTTGGGTTCGCAACTATGTATTGGTCCAACGCCCTGTCATCCGTCTTCCACGGGTGGGTCAACAATCTACTGCGAGACAGCCCTGAGGAGCGAAGCTTCACCTTGGTTCTCATCAATCTTTTGTCTCAGAGTTCAACGGCATGGACGCCCTTGTTGACATTTCCAACGGTCGAGTCTCCGAGATACAGAAAGGGGTTCTCGTTCTGCCTTGGGTGCGCTATCGCGTTGATTCTATTCACGTGGATTATGCACTATTACCTGAAGAGAGATAAGAGACAAGACACCAGTCCGTCTGATGAGGAGACAGATGGGCAACAAGAAAGTGATTTGATATCTTCGGCCAAGGAAGGGACCCAGCAGTCTGGTACACCCATGACCGAGAAAGGCCCTGGAAGCACGTCTATCGGCCATGAAACCGCTAAGATAAGGGGTTGATAGTGGCACAGACGAACTTGGCCTTTTTTGATGTTGCTTGCAGGAGCTCTGGTCAAGAAAGAAATAGTTTCTCATAGCGAAACGGAACACTGGTGGTGGGGCATCATATTACCTGAAAAGAATTTGCTCACTTACTTACTTTATAAATTGTTACTGATTTAAATAAGTTTGAAATATAATGTTCCTGGTAGCCCGTGGCGGAGTAATAAACTCTGAAATTCGCGTCTCGTTAGAGATCTGAACACTAAATGACCCAATCCATCAACTCCGCAACCATTCCGCTCACTGATAAATTTGCTTTTACATGTGATCTGAATGGCCCTAGCACCTCACATTACGCTGGATTCGTGGAATTGAAAGCATTGTAATGTTTGAGCATTAGGCTTTTATTTGAAGATCCACCGATCTGAAGATCTATCGGGGTGACGAGCGGAGTTCTGAGGACCTGTGCGGAAATGAAAGAGTCTACTGTTTGTGGTTGCGTAGGTTCGGATGAACTCGCGTGAGCATCTACATCTATCGCACGATCTTGGAGATTGGCGTGGCACTTGCGGGGCTTCTTTATATGGAAACCCCCGCAAGAGTGACGGAGCGATGGTAATAGATCTCTGACACTGCCACGATCGGATACGGAAGCATAGCGATCTCTTCACCGATCGCCAATACGCGTGCGTCGAGAGCGCAACTGACCAGTTCGAGCGGCGCTTTGAGTTCAAACCGTGCGAGTGGATTTCAGTACTTAAGATCAACAAAAGACTTTGGTATTTCCCGAGTACAAAATTCGCTATCAGCTAGGAAACAAACGTCGATCGATATCCGTATGAGCTGGTCGGATATAGCCCCGCATGCCGTGTACTGCAGTCCAACATATGTAGAAAAGAAGCCATGCCGGGCTCAGGCTGAATGGTCCGTATTGCAAAGTCCCAGCGGCTCTGTGGCAAATTCATGGCCCTCCCACATGAACACTCCCCAACCTTCCCAGCCGGTGACGACCTTATCGTTTGGCAAAGGGTCGCAGCTCCCTGGATTAATACCTAGGCGAAACTGGAAGGGCTGAGGGTCGCTACCAAAGGTGATGTTCGTTAATGCGTTAAGGTTGCCGTTTTCGTCCTTGAAGGTTGCAACTGAGCACTTCGTTCCGGGCTGAAAGTTGCCAGAGAGACCACATCGAACGACCTGTGCAGGCTCGTCCCATGTGAGCCATAGCGTATCATAGTTGTAGTTCCTATTGCCGTATCCGGTGTCTTGCAAGCTGTTTCCCCAGCTGTCTCTCCAGCAGCAGTTACCAGCCATCGTATGGACGACGAAGAGGCCCATTAGGAGGAGTCGGGGGAGTGGTGATGTCGGCATCGTTAGAAGGCCCTGGAACTAACGGCTGCAAGAGTTGAATTGATGTTGTTCTTTTGAATTCGTTATGATTGATCGATTGTGGTCAGTTGTATGCCAATTAGAATCAGAAAGTGACTGAGAAAGGATCGTCGACAGAGGGACTTCGGCAAAGGCTGTTACGTTGAATAATATGCACCGCAAGAGGCGGCTAAGAGTCAAGAGTCATGATAAAGTAGAACCAGCAGGCAGGTGTCAGTCCTCGTTCTACCTTAGTCGGATATAAGATAGAGGCTGACAGGTGCTCTGACTCACGCGCAACGCGCCTCATTCTAGGCGGACACAAAGACAGAGGCGCTGACTTGCGCCCTGACTCATACGCAACATTCACTATGCGGATAATACCACCACCTGAGATGAACATTATCATCATTCGCTATATACCATGCTGTTATTGTTGTACGTGGCTAATGACCAACCAACGAAAAGCTCCCACCGGCAACCCCGAAGTTTCTACAGGGATCATCCTTCAAGGGGAGCTTAAAGGGAAGGAAGTGAAACCGAAGATAAGGCTTAGGCACACCCAACAAACTGTTGCCATATCTACAGCAACTGATAGTAAACCTGGTAGAGTGCTAGAAATGTGATCAAGGGAGAATGGCAACTGGTTAGGGGACAAGGCGCAAATGCGATGAAGTCATGTCGATATAGCTCAGATTCGGGACGTACCCGCCGAATACATTCACATCTATGAGCTGCTAAGTCATGCACATAAAGCAACGAGTTGGACGAGATGGTATGCCCATTCTTACTGCAGGAGCAGTCACTGCACATTAGGCGATGATGGACTTGCACAGGTCAGGACTGATCCTTCTCTGTGAACCCCTTCCCCACAACCATAGCCACCTCGCTGAGGGTTCGTGCGATCATCTGCCGACTCAGTCTCCCTGTCTCTAACAAGTCAACACTCGCCTAAGCGGCAATGCACATACATCCCCAAATGTCCACCCAGGGGATCCCCCCGCCCGCTTCGCTCGCAAAGTTTGTCTGCCTGTCGCCTGCGATGGACTGTCGTAGGTCCAGCCCTACATCAATCAAGTGTCCACAACCGCGTTGCATTCGGATACTTTACGAATTTGAGGCTTCATTGTTTTTGCGGAAGAAAGTAATGAACGTCATTTTTTCCTTTCACAAAGTCGAGGCAAGTGGCTAGTCATCTTGTTCAGAGCTCGGAACCGGGAGCGAGATCGAGTCCTAACATGCATAACCTAGTTTCAACTATATATACAGGGTTCTGGGCCTCATTTAAACTTGTCTTATGAGTGATTGATAGTCAGAGGTGAGTTTCTGACGCGCAGACGGCCAGCGCCGACATGGTCTACCCAGAGCGGCAAGAACGAGACCCGGCATCTCCGCAGGAACGAATAGGATAAAGTCGCGGATCCGTGCACACTTGTGATGAAAAGAATTCTCCTCAATTGTAGCTAGTATTAGCCCACATAAAAACTGAAAGACTGATTACAGCCCGCCATTTGGCCAATTGGGTACTGGTCAGCTGCCAGTGGTCACACGACACACCATAGTTGCACAGAGTTGATGTGCATCTCCACTCGAACTGCTGGTCGGAGCGCAAATGCCACACAGCGTCGACGGCGACATCAGGGACAAGTCGCATGATTGGGCCACCAAGCAGGCTTAAGCTCTCGCTGCTCTTCCTTTAAGTAGAGGGGAAAGGCCACCAATAGAATGGTAGCTATCATGTGTTTTCACATGGTTCGCATCCGAATGCTGTGTTATCTTAGGCTAGGCATGTGGGTCTCATCTGACTTCGATTTGATGTACGAGCTGATGCCGCACTCTGCCTGAACCTGCTTATATCCACACACACGCGTCCTGAGCAAAGCTGGCTCTTCAGTGTGTATGAAATGACGCGGTACTAACTGAACGCAGGGAAAAGTTCTGAAACTGATGTTCACGAGCTGTTTTCACTTGTGGCCTGCCGAAAAGTACATCAAAAATCAGGAGCAAATGCAACCCGACAGCCTCAATGAAGTGCTTCCTATACCTCCTTAAGGCGGCGGGTGATCTGGCTACGCTTGAGCGACATAATCGCATTACATAGATAAGCTTTCTTTTAATTGAGCAGGGATCATCGGCAAGAATCATATGAAAGGTTTGGTCATCTACCTATCCTGATAACGAGCGATGAAGTCCTTGATCTGCTCCGTATCGGCTTGATAACCGACACCCATCAATGGTTCTCCGCCCATGGTATGATGCGTGTATCCGTATCTGATACGCTGTGATCTCAGCTCCTTTGTGAGCTCTGTGCCATCCATCCAACTAGTATTCATGAGCAGGTCCATAAACTTCGAGTCACGAACCAAGGTTGAGACGTACCCCAGCACCTCAGGGCCATGAGCCAAGTGTGTGAATACGACGCTTAAAATGCCACATGCGAGAAGAATGAGACATGAAAGAAGGCAAAACCCAATCCACAGGCCCGATACCTGGAATACTTCGACGAGATTACTGACCTCTGACGAGATCGTGATGTTCGGTTCAAAGCTTGCCGTCTGACCCAAAGTACTGCTAGTAATCTGGAGCTCTTGTTGACTGAGCATCAGATACGTGTTGAGAAGTTGGTTTAGGCGGATCCCGATCTTGTCGTCCGGGAGATCATCAAGGCTGACGTCCGGCGACGAGCTAAGCTCTTTAAATGTCGGATCCTTCAAGTACTGGATCGAAAAGTCGGGAAACCCCCCAAGGGGCCGGCCTGTTGCTGCTAGAGGGAATTCTTTCGAAATGTAATAGAAGAGATGTGGCAGAGAGAGAATCGAGATGGCCTCAGGAGCGTGCGGCTGCTGAGATGGCCGCTGTGCAACTACCGCACAGGCGTGACGACCAGAAGTGGGCACATACGTGCAATTCACACGAGACTCCACGTATCTCTGTGTCACACCACAGACAGCTTCGAGTTTGGTTTCAGGCGTCCGAGTAGGCTTGATACTAGGGATGATGATCTGAAGAAGCAAGTTCGCCTCGCCAGCCTCGATGCCCGTCTCATTCACAAACAGTCTCAGCCCGTCCCTTATGTCTGCTCTGACGTCGGTGGTATTGAGCTTCTCAACCAATCGAGCATTTTGAACTTCCTGGTCTGCCCAGAATGGGTCGACAAATCGGTCAAGCGCAATGGCCCAAGTCGTTAGGTTTTGTGTGTTATTGACGTGATTCTTGACCCCGCGCCACGTCCCGTTGGGGGCCTTCAGAATGTTGTCACTATATGTATGACTATTGGCCCAGAATCCACTCGTAATGTTCGTCATGTTATCCTGCGGAAAGCTGATTGGAAACTTCGTGATGTTGTTGCAATCGAGATGGACGTAGCTACTCTCGACCGCGAATGTGACGTTGCCAATGGTTGAGTATTTGAGAGGGATCCCAGCCAAAGACGAGTATTGAACCTCTTGAGAATTGTGAGAAATCTCTGTCCAGTTGCTGGGCGCATTTTGGTCCAGGAAGGGAATCTTGACGTTTCCCCAATGGTCCATCGTATCGACCTGAATGGAGTCAGGCTGGGCAACGAATGAGGCATACACTGTTGCCAAGTACCCGAGAACACCAGCATTGGCTATCGCTACTATGGACGCGGTACTGGCCACAGGCAAGGTATTGAGTTGATTATTGGCGCCGGTATCGAAATAAGTTAGATCCGTAGTCGAGAACTCGGGTATGAATCTCGAGGACAGCATTCGTAGGATTGACTGGCCCCCGAGAGGTGAGAATGCCCAGATAAAGATCAGACCGAATCCGAGTAGGTTGACTGTGCGGAATTCAATCATAGTATGCAGAGTGGCGCCAACAGTACGGCTTCCCATCAATTGTTCCAGGCTGCCGACACTGGATCCTTTTTCGAGTCTCCATCGGGCAGCTTCAGCCATTAGTCTTCCAACAACAGCAGCAAAAAGAATCGGGAAAATAGTAGCAAGCTAGAAAGCCATCTGTTAGCTCACTGGGAGTGACTTCTACGCGTGAACATCGACTTACGACAGTGATGGCGTTCCGCCACTTTCTGTCAGTCTCCTCCTCGGTCCGAGTACCGTGTAGTCGCCAGACCAATATGATGAAGATCAGAACACCAAGCGGGAGCATGACTGCAGCGGCGTCTGCCAAAGCGGTCCACGTGGAAACATTGTGCTTGGGAAATTTGGCGCCGGCAGATCCTTTCTCGTTCGTAGACACGCGCTTGTAGTCCTTGGAGCCGCTTTCTCTGTCTCTCAAGTTTCGTGTTGAGTCACTGGCCCCCGAACTGCCGAGGAAGCTTTCTCTTGGCCGGTAAGACGTATCCTCTGGTGCACGCTGGTTTAGGCTTTGGCGGGTAAGGTTGAGGGAGTCTGGTGAAGTGCTACGTCGCAGGGACCAAGGAAACGACCGTGATGTATCTGGTTTCCTCATCTTGTGTCCAAATAGCTAAAGTCGTCTGAAAGTTTGGCCGACGGCGGGAAAATGTGAGAATGAGTTGGCATTGACTCTATGGAGACTGTCATCGTCTACTTATGCGGCATTGGACGGATGGGATAGATTCTTGCCTCCCGGGGTGGCCAGGCTCTTGCCAATTCTTCTCGCACCTGCGTGATTTCAGCCAATCGTCAACATCAATCGCTTTCAAAGCTGACTGCCAAGCATTGGAAACCCCTGCAGAAATGAGCTTATCGAAGCTAAAGCCTGTGAGCTCAGGACTATAGTGCTGTGACATGCAACGCACTAACCAACTGTGGTGCATTTCCGCCCCTCAGGAACAGGCTGGGTTGCATTTCTCCATGGTGTTGTGGGCTCACCCTGCTGTCTTGGGGAAAGATTGTTGGCTGATGCCAGGGTATCAGCCAGGTTCAGGCGTCGGTTGGCCTAGGCAGCCACTGTCACGTCCTGCATGCTGGCGGTTCAGAAATAGAGTCAAGAGACCCTGCCGCAGCAACATGATTGCTTAAACGGATTTGAGCGATTAAAGATATTCTGCTTCATGGGGAAGTCTTTGTCGCTTTGTTGGCCAGTGGAAGTCCAAGATCACTGTAGACGGACCTCGTTGGAGGTCAATCCGGCATACGTTTCTTCAGCTTGCTTCATCTATAATACTGCCCGTTACTTTCACAAATCGAAAAGCATTTTAGTTTGTGTAGGGAGTGTACCTGGGAGTTGTGACAGGCACCTTCCATTGGCCATTTCGTAGAGTTACTTCAGGCTTGCACTCGCAACAATGATTCAATTCGAATTTCCTGTCACATCAAAATGCGGGAAGACGTCCATTTAAGGTCTGCGAGAACTTTCTTGGCTCAGACTACTCCATCATCTGTAGATTGGTCACGCCGCGGCCTGGGCGGAGTTCCACTGCTCGTTGAATCTTTCCAGAGATCAGCGGTCTGAATTGACGGGAATATCGGACTCCGCCTTCGATTTCACAAGCGGGGCGGTCCGCACCTGCAAGCCTCCTCAGGGCGAAGCCATGTTGCTTCCTTCATTGGCTTCATTGGAGGGAGGATTGGATGGTACAAAAGTCCCATTCGGCTGCTGTGCTGCCTAGGGAGCTGAGCCCTGAAGTTGCTTGGCTGACGTCAAATTTAGTGCTAAACCGATGTTTTACTATTAGCCGAAGAAAGCTCGGAAAAGAAATGGTACGATGGTTGTATTCCTGTTGCTCCTAGGACTCAATTGAGCTGGGACTAGTGGTCAGCATAGCTTTAATCCCTTCACCCAGAAGCGATTTTGAATGCCTGGAATCAGGGACAGACGGTCTAAAATCCCAGGACTATTCGAGCCGTCGCTCCCGAGTGGTGTTTATCGGTCCCTGTGAGCCTCATTGCGTGCTTGGTTGCTCACAGCCACGCCGAGATCCGGTCCGCTTTGGCACATCATACTTGCAATTTCCTTTCACAGTAGAGTGCCCTGGATCTGGCAGCTCGTATTACCCCAGCCGAAGGAATGTCTGTCAGCATCGACGCCCCAATACGAAAAACGATTTCCTGATTAAATATGAAATACCGTTCGCGTCTCGAAATCTTCTGATCATCCGCTGCATCCCAAGTCGACCAAACATGCATCTTCCAGTCTTTACAGCGCTCATCTCTGTGGCTTCGGCCGTCCTCATCCAAGGGCCTCCCGGTCCTTATTCGGTTGCCCACAAGGTGCAATCTTTCGAGGATTCAGCAAGATGGGATCCATTGGCACCGGCGGATAAGCCGGAGAAACGACGCGTTGCAACATCAGCATTCATCCCCGTGAAGAAGGGTAACTGCTCGGACGATGTGGTCCCTTACATGACACCCATCACCGCCAAGGCAATGGCAGGGTTTTCCGCCTCGCTCGGGTTCGCTCTTCCCGACGACTTCTTCGACAACCTCGAGCTTGCATTCTGCAAGGTTGGGGAAACTTGCAAGTCCCGACGCGACGCGTCACAGAACAAGTACCCAGTAGTGCTGTTCTCTCCGGGACTTGGGGGCTCAAGACATTTGTACGGCGTTCTGGCTCGCTCGCTTGCCAGTTATGGCTATGTTGTTCTCACACTGGATCATACGTATGAGACCGGCGTAGTCGAATTTCCAGATGGAAGTGTAGTGTACAGTGTGGTCAACGCGACAGGAGGTCTTGCCCCATCCTACTTAGAGTCGCTTGTCGAGGTGCGGGAAACTCATCGTCTGTTGCATCCATCAAACGCTGACTTCAATTTCACAGACACGACGAGCCGACTTTTCCTTCGTCATCGATCAGTTGCAAACCCCCGATATAGCTGCTCAACTCGTGGCCGGCACGGGGGCGTCAATCGACTCTGCCAAGGTCTTTGTTTACGGCCACTCGCTCGGAGGAGCAACTTCTGCCGCTACGATCCTCACTGACGATCGTGTTCTCGGTGGGCTCAACTTTGACGGCGCCATGTATGGTCCAGTACCCACCGAAGGTAGCGACAAGCTCCTTGTGCTAGCCGGGACGCCAGTATTACCCCAGACAGTTTTCCCTGGGGTCCCATCTTGGAATGAAACGTACGACAAGCACCAGGGCCCTGCGCTTATCGTCACGATCAACGGTACAATGCACCCGACGTTCCTCGATGCGCCTCAACTTCCCCCGATCAAGGAACTTTTGAAGAATCCGGACTACACCGCTGCTCTCCAGGGTTTCCTCGGTACTATTGATGGCGACCGCGCTGGACAGCTCACCATTGACATCGTGAGGACCGCCTTGCATTCTGTGTTCGAAGGCAACAAGGATGAACTCTGCAGTATTGAGAAGCTCGGCCCGGAGCTTGACCTCCTGAAGATCAAGGGCCTCGGCTGTCCGCAGGAATGATGTGGGTTGCGGTAGTCAGTCACGACTCAGAATAAGAAATTACCTTAATGCAGATTTCTGAAAAGCTCGACGGGTAATAAGCTCTGTGCAAGATATTACTTCAGAAGGCTGAGGACGGATCGAAGTTAGTCTTGAGCATTCATAGCTGTGACAGGTGGAGGTTGAAATAAGATTCGAACGTTCTGACTATTCCTTCGTACATGAGGTCGTAAGGTTCCGGTCCGATATTATGCTGTTCCAGGAGTAAAGCCAGGTCGGTTCCAACCTGGTCGACCCCGCTGCGCAGAGTGACCGACTCCCTTCTCATCTCCTCGAAGATTTTCTGAATGTTTCTAGAGCGTTCGGCTCTTTTCTTGGCCTTTCTCTCCCTTTCTTCAGCCAACAAGCCTTGGTCGAGTTCTTTTTTGAGCATTGCCGCCTCGGCCGGCGACTTTTCTGGCGTGTATCCGGGAAACAGCGCTGCCTGCTCAAGCAACTCCAACCTTATTGTCTGAGTGTTGTTTTGAGTGAATCTTCATTCCCAAAAACAAAAGATGCCTCAGCGTGACGTTGGCATTGTTCCCAGCATTCCCTATGGCAGTTGGCAGTCGTGGTCTAGCTTCGTCAAGATGCGGTCTGAGTTCGCTAAGAGAGCCCAGAGGGCAGCATATCCGGCGAGTAAGCTGAGTTGTGTTGAGACAATAACTGAATTTGCCATGGTCCAAGGTCTCCCACCAGTCTGGCAACCCCAGGCCGTTCTGGACGAGAATGACTCTACGTCTGCTAGGTATAAGTTTCTTCATGTGTGATGCAGGGTCGCTCGTCTTGGTAGGGTTCCCGAACCGAAAGAACATCGCTGCGAGGTAATATGCCCATGATGAGGAGTCTGAGACCAGATTGTTTGTCGACATCAGCCCGTCGTTGGATGCAGAGCCGAGCTTCGCCGTGTCCAAGATTGCAAGACCGCCCATACGAACACCACCAAAGATGTCGATGTCAACTGCGACGAGGACGGGATACTGACAGCTTTCGCATGCCTCTTCCGGGGGTCGAAGATCTGATAAAGTACGCGTAAGTCTTCCTCGGCGTTGGCGTCCGGAATTCTATTACTTTGCAGTACACGCGACTCTCGCAGGTTGGTCTCCTTTTCAATGATGGTCATTCTGTCGGTTTCGATCGATTATTTTGAGAAATGTGGACGCTCGACGTATTATGAAGTTTAAGCAAGGAAAGACAAATGCTGGTATCCATATAAATTGGCCCCTTCTGTCCGGGCGCGGGCTAGACTAAATATCGCTTGGAGGTGGTTTGATGAGGTAGGTAGGTCGCTTGGTAACGGAAGCCTTTTGAGTCGAAGACATCATAGTCAGAAAATGAAAGTTTGACTTTAGATAAAGTTTGAATTGTTTTTCTTCTACAAAGCCATCTATGCCTCCATCGTGTGTTCTGATGCCGAGATTGAATAGGATGGGGCACTAGGATGCTGCTGTTAGGTTTGATAACCCCAAACAGAATTATAGCATTTATGTTTCTCTTAAAAGTTCCTTCTGCTCCAGTATGTACTCGTTATGTTCAATACCGTGTGATTATTTATCCTTCGTGATATGTTTCTATGGGGTATTCAAAAACAAGTGGTCGATGCTTCCATGTTGTGACGTTGATCTATCGTGGTCGTAAATAATTGCGGTATCGTCTAGCAGGCCATCATCAATCCAGCGACAACGGCCAGACTGAGAAGCATCTTGTTGTAATCCGATGCGCTGGCTGCGCTGGCGCCCGTTGGGGTTGAAGAAGCCGCCGCATTATCGGATGTAGGGGATGGGGTAGATCCTCCGGTTGATGCAGCTTCCGTGGTCGGTGCAGCGGAGGTCATATCTGTTGTGGCGCTCGCAGAAGCGCTAGCCGAGGTTGATGAGGCTTTGGTCGAGGTTGCTGATGATTTCGTAGAAGAGCTGGTCGTCTGGGCTCCAACGACTTCTTGAACCCATTTTCCAGCACTGCCAGAGTAGATGTCGAAGTAGTTGAGATGGTTGGCGGCCGTGTCGCCACCGGCACAGATCGGGTCGGACTCCACGCAGTACGAGCGGAAGAAAGCAGCGTAGGCTTTCATGCCAGCGAGCTGGTCATCCGGACGGGGGAAGAGGCCGTTAGCCCCGGATCCCGATTCGTAGTTGTACGGCTGGCTGGCGGTGTGTCGAACATCACCAAAGATCAACACCGCAGAGACTGGTGTCGAAACGTCAGTTTCTCAAATCCAAAAGTTCTATCACTTATTACTCACTCTTGTTTCCAGGAGCCTTCGTCGCGTCAAGACCAGCGTTTGGGGTCTGCTGGCAACCCTGGAAGAACGTGCCACCTCCACCACCCAGGATATCGCCGATGACATGACCTCCCTGTGAGTACCCACTCAACACTAACTTCGAGTCCGGACACCGCTTGTTGTACGCGGTGACCTGTGCCGTGCCGTTCGCAGCACCCTCTTCCACAGACTGGCAGTACGGCGCCTCCAGTGGGTTCCAAAACTGAATGTCCTCGTAATCGCAGCTATCGAGCCCGTCACAAATGGCCGTGACCAGCTTTCCCTGACGGCCCGGATATGGCTCGTTATTCCCGCGGGCGAGGAAGACGTGGACGTCGCGACACTCGCCGTCACCCGTAGATTGACGCGTGGCCACCGAGGCAGCCGAGGCCCATGGCAATGTGGAGACTAGGGCGAGCGCCGCTGAGAGACTTGAGACCATCTTGGATTCGGCGAACTGACGGACGGCGGCAGCAGTGTTCGGCGGATGAGGTGAGAGGTGAAAAAATTACAAGAGAAGGGACCTCAGCCGCACGCGACAAGGGCGGACATCCGGATCTTTTGAAGCTCAATCGTTTGGGGCTTCCTTGTTGCTTAAACTGGAGATTAATGAATTCCCCGGAACCAGCGAGGGATGCGCGGAGGCTGTCAAATACGAAGCGACGATAAGACGGGTCCACCGAGACCAGGGATCCCGGAAATTGATGCCCTGGTTTACCTGCCAAATCAACGTCATGTCTCCGGCCTAGCGCTATCTGTCAGGCAAAACCAGTGGTCTAGTTCCTGTTGATCCCCAGCAAGTGGATGCCGAATAGCTTGTTGGATATGTGACGAAAACATTTACTCATCGGGAGTTTCGTGTTGGCTGGAAGCCGCGTGGGAGCCGACGTTCGTTTACTGAGTCAGGGAGGGCTCCATCCGCTGGGCTTTTACAGGGAATAGCCAAGGCTGAGGCGCGGATCAGGATGGAATTGGCCTATGCGTTCGACGGGCTGGCTCGTAACGACCAAAATAGAGAGACGGTGTATCAGGTTGAGTGGTTCGGCGGATCACTTGCCGGAGAACCCGCATGTAGGGCCAGCAATGGTCAACAGACAACTTTTAAGCTCATGGGCCACCGCGATTCAGATGAGTGAAGCAGTCGTCAGCCATATGCATCAAATGTAATACGCGTTTATACTCAAGCCATACGACAAACCTCATGGCTGGCTTTTGAGCCGCGGCAAGCAAAGTTGCAGTTGCGCTGGCATGGGAGTGATGCTATATTCCTAGTCAAGTACCAACTGTGAGGATCAGAGGGTGGCTTAACTTGATCATACAATGTTTCTCGATACAAAGGTACTCAATGACGTGACATGAGACAGGTTGGAAAAGTCGATAGGTCGAGGAAACTTGTTCATCTCTTCTTACCATGAGAGAGGCTGTAGATCCCTACAGCCCTATGTTTAGATGTCCTGATTGATTTGGATACCCCATAAACTGCCCGATTTATAAATCGCCCATGATTTCGTGCTTGTGTCCCATGCGATATTCGAAGACCTCGGGTAACAAGTATGTATGGAATCCCTATCAGTTCACATCAAAGACCCGACACCAAAATATTGAGTATCTTGACTGAACATCCAAGGAGATAGACAACAGTCAATCGAGTAGCTAATGGTCTCGTGATCCTGCATCTGTGAGTGGCAGGAATGGAGAAAATCTAACATTGTAAAACGCCACGGAGTGTTTGATACACAGAGTTTAGAAGCAAAACAAACAGCTAGCATTTGAGGTTGGTAATTAGCTTCACACTCTTGTTCATGAACAGCAACCAGATATTTTAAATAACGTCAGGTAGCAAGGTTAAGCCCTTTGAAGCGGCAATTCGAGACTAATACTAGGCATTCAATTGCAAAGTGAATTGAAATGCATATGAGCACATCACCTTGTCCGAAGTGGGACTTCATTTTTTTTCACAATGTCGTTTTAATTCAAAGCGCTTGCATTCTTTGCGGAATACCATCGGGATAGTCCCACATTTCCGTGCGGAACATCGGGGTAACGCGGGGTGTACATTTTTCCCCCGGTTGCGGATCGGAACGCCAAAGTTTCTCTAGCTAAGCTCCAAAATGACCCCTCAATTGGCACGTGTTTGTGCCGAATCCGGAACATATCTTCTACTTCATGCCCAGTTTGACTTCACCTATCTTATAACCTCATAACCATACTTATCCCAATACACCGTGCGCTCCTCCTCAGTACAGAATCAACCTAAATACCGATCAGTAACATGTCGTCCGAAAACACCGACAAGCTACGTGCCGAGTTGTGGGAGCAGGGCTTGAAGAACCGCCGTGAGGTAGTCGGGGAGAACTACGTCGATAATGCCATGCGGAATGGCTCCAGCGAGTTTGCCTTTGCCCAACAGGAGCTCATTACCGAGTAAGGAACCGCCCCAACGAATCCGATGTTTATGTGCTGAGCTGATTGGACGGTCAAAAGATGGGCTTGGGGAAACATCTGGTCCCGACCAGGCCTCGAGCGCAAGCAGCGAAGCCTGTTAAGTGAGTGACTTGAGACATGGGTGGAAGCTGTCGCTGACAATTTGTAGATATCGGCATGCTCATTGCGCTGAAGAGCTGGGCAGAATTCGGCATTCACATCCGAGGAGCCATTAGAAACGGACTCACTGAAGTTGAGATCCAGGAGGCAATTCTTCAGGCTACTGTGTACTGCGGAGCACCGGCCGGAGTTCAGGCCATGAAGGTCGCCGATGAGGCTATCAAGGACATGGTAGAGAAGGGAGAGCACAAGAGGCAGATGGCAGAGGTCTCTCCTAAGTACAAGAAATAAGAGTGATGCTAAAGATCATTGTTTGCGTGGAAGAAAGAATAAACACTAACAGTGTCTTCTGGCATTAGCAAGAAGCTTCTTCTATTATGTGAGCTGATAAGGAATGTAGGTACGAAGGAGCCTCTTGGTTACACAAGGTCCCGAGCCTACTTCTACTAGCCGTTTCAGTCAACATAATTAAGATACTTGAATACCAATGCATTGATATTCAGGGCCAACGGTAGAGTCGGAAATGCGGGTAATTGTGCGCCTTACTACTCTCGTGCCGTAAAGAAGAGCTAGGTATCCGTTTTCAGAAGCGCGTAACGGCCAAGGCTTGTTTAGGCACCTCGAACATGCCTCTAATATGATGATAGTCGACTAACCTAGCGACAGACCCGAAAGATCTAATGGGGACAAAGCTAAAGATACATGTCACATTTTGCAGCAAAGCATCGTCTTCTATTTTGATACCAGTCTTATGCTGATAATACATCATGTAGCGTAAGTGCGGCTTTTATTATTTTGTTTTCGGAAACCTTTACTTATACTATCGCCAAAATATGGACCGAATATTGTGACATTGCCGTGCATGTCCTACTCGCCGTTTTGTAATCATAAGTTTATTATCTCCTATCTCTCAGTACGATGAACATAAAAAGCTTTCTTTATAATTTCGTAAAGATGAATCATCGTGGTAACGCTTGCTACAGAAGAAAAGAACGACTGCAAATACATGAAGTTTGTATTGTCTCAGGACGTTGCTGGGCATCCTGTTGCGAAGGATATAAGGCGCAATTGCTGCTTAGCAATTGTGGTTCCACTTTTGCAACACATCCTGAGCGTGAAGATTTCTAACACGCAAAAAAGAAGATTTCAAATCCATGTCCGATTTCATTCAAAAATCTGCCAAGGCCAAGGTTGATCTCGCTTGCAGCAAACAAAACGCGAGCAATCACATCATCACAGAGCGGGCCAGACGATTTCATAGAGAAAATCACAAATGAACAAGGAAACCCCCAAAAGCGAATCAAGCGATGTCCGCAGCTCGTACTTCCGCTAGCTGATGTATAGTGTGCCATTTTTTTCGGCGTGGCTTATGAGTTTACCACATAAGTTAGTACCCTCAGCTTGCAAGACAGAGACTCATTCTAGCATTTCCCCGCCTAAATTTGAATTGCATTGGGGGTAGCACATAGGCTCAGCCTATAATGACAACTTTCTCTCTAAATAGAGGTTAAATCATTTCTCTCCTGCAAGTATCTTCACCAATGATTTCGGATCCATTCTGAACAAGTATCCACCTGAAACCAGTTCTGCAACACTTGAATACAAACGATACTGCAAGCCCCCTCCTTCCTGCGCAAAATGCGGTGAAGTTGGCCCGGCCAAGACTGTTATCTTATCCGCAACCATATACACGTGATAACCGTACGGGTACTCTGCATCCCTCGTGTTTAGGTTACTCGGAGGTATGCTTCGCATCGCATATGGTGTGAATGCTGGGGCTACGAAGTCGCCGGTTTCGTCGCCGAAACGGTCGATCAAGTCGCCTTTTCCCAGTGTGAGGTTGGAGCAAATAGGTGACCCCGTCGTATCAATACTGAAGCCCTGTTCGGGGGGGTACGCCCATCGGCCGTCTGTCTGGTTCGTCCAGGCTTTGAGGAACTCGCCTGGGCAAAGCCCACCGAAGCGGCGGTAGTACTTGCCAACAATGTCGTCGACTGGCACGCCAGAAGGCGGCGCTACGGGCCCAAGACGCCAGTCTTTGCATACATAAACCTCGTCATCCTTGGTGTTTCCTGGTCTGGTGCCTGCGCAATAGTCGTCGCAGCCAGTAGAATTAAGGTCGGTCTATCCGGCAGAGTGTTAGTTGAATGCAAGCCATGCAAGAGGGTCCATAGAAGAACCTACATCGCGTCTGTGGACAATCGGTGAGCCCAGAGCAACGAGTGTGCCAAAGCACAGCGAGGAGAAGACCGAGAGATGCATTGTACGATTTACTGAGATCTTTGACTGTATGTAGTTGGTAGCAGAAAAGAGCCAGATCGTGGTCAACTGGGCTCCTTCTTATAATAAGGGAAATTTGACATGGCACGCTGGGTCTGAAACAAGATATCGAATAACTCGCACAACTACCTTATTGATATTTCCCGAAGCAGTCAAAATGGCAATTTCAGTCAGCCAGTCTTCATAGTGGCCTGCGAGCTTCAGCCAGCCGGTATCCGCACCGAAAACGGCTCACCGCTCCCAGCGGGTGCCACTGTAACACACATATGTGATTTCCTATTCTGATATTCTGTCTTACAGCATGGTGTTCGCATTGGAGTTCAGCACATGTTGTCTCCAAATACCCTGAGACATGCTTCTTTAGCGGCCCGCTCCTCTACCGCAACGTCTAGCGCCCCGGTAGGGATGTGATTGTGGCGGTCGTATTATCCTCCTATTCGTTCATTTCTCTGTGACTTACGTTTTCAGGACCTCCACAGACCTCGGGCCTAGCTAAGGGTTTTGAAACTGTCTTCACTGCCGAATCGGTGCTCCCGACCGAAATCTCCTGGCTTTCCCACGCGAGAACTAGAAGAAGCATGTCTCAGGTTTCTAGCATGAAATCAGGCCATTTCAAAAACATTCTCTATAGGGTCGAGTTTTCCCCGCACGCTCTGCGCCGTTCAATATCAAGGCATGTTGGCATACCTTCCTACACCGCTAAAGCTCGGCTCCCGGCTTGCAACAAATGTTGACTCGTTGAGGCCCCGGTCTTCTTGTACCATATTCTGTTCTATGGGCCTTACATGAAATTGTTGGGCTGCTAGAATGCCTCTAGAGACGTTTAGCGAACGGTTGGTAAGCGGTTTGATCATAATAGGCAATGAGAGACTCGAAGGAGCATCCATGGATGGTGAAAGCTCTGAAGAAACCATTGAAAATTCAAAGTAACCAAGAGCCAAGATCTGGGGATGGAGACATCTCCACTTCTAGCAGACGAGTCTTGGTCTTGGTTCCCACTGCGGGAATGCAAGCTCCTGAGATGACAGCAATCTAGATTCCTTCCGGTTGACGTTAGGCAAGCATTGTTACATAGCATGTTAGATGAGATGATTCTCGAGACTCACGATCGTGATGCTTGAACGTCCCTCGCCGTCGAGTACCTGGTCAGCGACCCCTGCACAAAAGGCTTGGCGGAAAGATCTGACTTCCCGGTCGATCATTCGCGGGTTCTGGGTCAGCCAAGCGAGAGCGAGGCGCTGTAGCATCAGAACACCCAAATTGTTCTCAAAACACCATGTTCGGAATTCGCGATTTCCAAGGCATGACATCTGTGATGATTAGCATCTTGGCACTGTCAAAGTTGTGGAGGACTCGGTCGGTTCTGATAATGAAATCGGGACTAGAACCCGGGTTCCTCGCTGCGACCTTCCTCATTCTTCGATCACCCGTCCAGGGGTCCCACCGAACACGACATGATGCCATGTCGCTCTCCGAGTCCCCGTCAGGGTCATACGGCAGTCAAAAAGGTGCGCCTCCAGGCGGCAAACTGCGAAAGAATAGTTAGAAGGGAAGAAGGAAGACCGCCATCATCTTAAAAACCCGAATCTCGCCCCTGCGAGATCTCTGTGTTCCCCAAGGTGTCACAAGTTCACCTCCCGCCCGTGACAAACCGTTCGAGATGAGGTCCTTGGCCATCACCGGCGCCCTCTGGGTCGCGTTGGGCGCATGCTCGCTGCAAAAGCGCCAAGACGACAAGCCCCTCGTCGACTCGGCCAGCTTCCAAGCAACCATCACCAGAGAGAAGTAAGCGCCAGTCCCGTCGACGATTTATTCATGTCGCAACTCACACGTTCCGCAGCTTGGAAGCCAACCTCGTCTCCCTGAGCGACATCGCCACAGCCAACGACGGAAACCGCGCCTTCGGCCTCCCAGGCTACGCCGCCTCCGTCGACTACGTCTACGACCGCATCTCCAGCGTCGCCGGCGCCAAAGTCTGGAAGCAAGACTTCTCCGCCGTCTTCAGCAGCGAGATCAGGGCCAACCTGACCGTCAACGGCGAAGCCCTCGCCGCGTACGGGCTCACGCTGTCGCCCGCGACGCCCGCCGAAGGCATCACGGGCCAGCTCGTCGCCGGGCCGGCAGGCTCGGACGCCTGCAATGCCTCCTCGTACGACGGCCGCGATGTGGCCGGCAAGATCGTCCTGGTCCGCGAGACGCTGTGCGACGGGTACAGCCGCAGTTCGCAGTACGCCGGGATCATGAAGCCGGCTGCCGCGGCTGGTGCGAGCGCTGTAATTGCGATTCCGGACTTCCAGTTCAATTTGACGGCCGGGTCGCTTGGGGTGGCTGATGACGGGACGTTTATTCCCAGCGGGTTCGTCAATAAGTATATTGGAGACCCGCTGGAGGCGCGCCTGCTTGCTGGAGAGGTTTTGACGGCGACGTTCTGGGAGGACGAGTACGTCGATCGCCGAGTGACGCAGAACGTCTTTGCCGAGACGGAAGGCGGGGACTCTGAGAATGTGATTGTTGTGAGTCTGCTTGCCTACTGAAATTCGACGCATTGCTGAATGGTATCTAGCTTGGTGCGCATCTCGACAGCGTTGCTTGGGGTCCAGGTATCAATGACAATGGTGAGTGTGATCTGATTTACATGTAAAGCATTGAGGACTCCCAAGCTAACTTCAGCAGGATCTGGCGTATCGCTGCTATTGGAGCTCTTCCTTGCACTCTCTAAGTACTCCGTGAATAACAAGATCCGATTCGCGTGGTGGGGAGCCGAGGAGAAGGGCCTCATCGGCTCGCGCTACTACGTCAACAACCTCGCCTCCGCCGAGGCTGGTAAAATCCTAGCGTATCTCAATTTTGACATGGTATCTAAGGGCTACTACGGAGTGTTTGACGGCGACGGTGCTTCGTACGGCGTCCCCGCACCGGCCGGCTCAGACGTGATCCAGGAGCTGTTCACCGCCGACTTTGTCTCAAAGGGTATCGACGTGACAGCGGCGCGCTTCACCAACGGCAGTGACTATGCGTCGTTCTGGCAGGTATTGAACAAGCCCATCGGAGGTCTTCACACCGGGACAGGGTCTGCCCAGGATCCCTGCTATCATCAAGCATGCGACGACATCAACAACCCGGACCTGGACCAGCTGACGGTGAACGCAAAAGTAAGACTTACCCATTCCGCTCAAGACTATGTTTCATAACTAACCAGATCCACAGGCCACCGCCCATGTGCTCTCGACTCTTGCTCTGGACGGGACCAATCTCATCAAGAAGCTGACAGGTCGTGGCCTTTTCGAGCGTTCAGAAAGTCAGAAGCGAGAGATAGCAACCGTTGAGGAGTCTGACGATGAGCACCACCATTGTTAAGACTTCCAAATAGCAATAGCTTGAAGAAAATGCCGTCTGATATGGCTTAATGACAAGCCTTCTTGGTATTGAATTACTAGATTACATTAATTGTGTGAGGATTCGAGCTCATAGAAATGATGGAATGATATCTCTCGAGTCCTGGGTTTCCACCTTCTTCGCGGGCGCTCGGCGTGGTGGCCTTGCCCTTGCAGTGCGATTCTTGAAGCGCGTAAATAGGTCTTCGTCATCTTCGTCATCACCGTCATCGATAGCAGGCGTCGTCGTTGCAGTCGTGCTGTTTGATGAGGAGCTGCTTGCTGGTCTTGCCGTCGGTGACGTATGCTTTACAGCTCCAAGCCGTGGCGTTCTTGCCCTTGCGGTGCGATTCTTGTGGCGCGTGAATATATCGTCTTCGTCGTCACCATCATCGGCAGCTGGTGTTGCAGTTCTAGTTGTGCTATTCGATGAGCTGCTTAGTGGTCTTGTTGTCGGTCTTTCTTTGGATACACGGGAAGCATGCCTCGCAGCTCCAAGCGAAGAAGCGGCTCCCGCTCCCTTGGAAGCCGGCGCTGTGGAGCGCGCCGGATCCTTTGGCAAAGGCCTCGATACCTGCGCTGACCTTACGGGTTCTCGCCTCGTTGGGGCCTTCACCGGACCGCCAAGATCGTCGCTCTCGGACTCCGTTTCTTCTTCCAGAACCTCTCTCCTGCTCATGGGCGCAGACCTTCTGTGAGACCTGATTACCCCTCCAAACAAGCTCTTCTTCGTTCCCGAGTCCGCCCTCGTAAGCGTCGTGAGCGGCACCTCCTTCTTCTGCGGGCTGTCCATCAACCCCTGCAGCGAGGTGCCATGCCACGGCATGCTCGTTTCGTCGCCGCTTTCATCGTCGACGTTGGCCTCCTTCTTCGCCTTGCGGAGCGCCTCGCGCTGCTTCTTCTTACGGAGCAGCTCCTCTTGACGTCTCCTCGCGATCTCCGTCAGGGATCCGACGACGGGGCGGGAGATGTTCTTGATCGTCTCCGCGTTCTGAGATTTCGTCTGCGTTTTGAGGCGTTGGTACTCCGCTGCGTGGAGATGCGCCGTGAACTGGCCGGCGACGGTGAAGAGTTCGTCCTCGACCATGCGATACTTGTCGTCATTTTCCAGGCCTTCGATCATGAAGCTGCGAGAGGGTCAGTGCTGCGTGGGCGTGGGTTTTTGGCAAAGAGCTCACATTTCCGGGATAGGCTGTGGTGGTGGTGAGGTTGAAGCACTTCGACCTGCAACGTGTGAGTGAGCGTCCGCGCAGCTTCCGTGAGTGATTAGCGCCTACCTCTGAGGAGGCCATTCAACCGTGACGATTGTTGTTTTGGGTTGCGCGACGTCGGCGTTGCCTTCGGTTTTGGCGTGGCACGTTGCGGCGTTGCTGCTGAACGAGACGTCGACGACTTGGTGGCGGCTTTGGCAGGTGTTCTTGCTGGGTCGACGTCGTCGCGCGCCCAGGGCAGTCGGCGTGTCATGTTTGGAGGAGTTGCAGTCGCGTGCGATAAAGAGATTGATCAACGCTGATCCCGAACAATGACATGTTATGAGTCTTGAGGGCGAGGTTTCGATTTGCGACGCGCGGGTTCTCGAAGACTTCGCGGAAATGGGTTCAGCGTCTC